GCTCCGGGGCCCCCTCCCGTGACTTTCCATCCAATCACCCCTCCTTTCTCTACCTCTGAGGAGAGGTGGTCGCATGCATCGCCGCACATATAAAATCGACAAATTCCACAAGAAACAACACCAGGGCGAGGTGAACCCGTTGGAACACTGAAGGATACAATTACGGACAGGGGATCTCACAGGGCCAGAGGGAGGGAGGGAGGGAGGGAGGGAGGGAGGGAGGGAGGGAAGAAGAAGGGATCACCGCAGATTGTGTTGGACCTGGATCTGCCTCCTCACCAATTCACTGGTCTCGATCGTGCCGTTTGCTGCTCGATCTCCTCCTTAATCTTCCCTCTCCCAAACTCAGATAAGGAGGCGGAGAGTTTTCCTTTTCCATACCTCGTCTGATTCCCTCCCCCTCCTACTCCTCGCCTCCCTCCCTCTCCCTCCTTCCCTGCATTGCTCGCCCTCCCCTGCCCTCCCCTGCCCCTTCCATCCCCTCCTCCCCAGGTCCTTCCACCATCCCTCACTTCACCCCGCTGTGTCCCCGCCTTGGCCCCTGCCCTCCTTTATGGAAGGGATGGATCGAGAAGAGAGGAGGCGGGAGAGGAAAGAAAGCTGCTGCAACAATGTAGGCGAGGGGTAGAGGATGGTCTGTACCTTCACCTCCTCCTCCTCATCGTATGCGATAGGAGGAGGGCAGATAGCACAGCGGCAACTTGCAGAGGTGGAGGAGGGAGACAGGATGGAGAAGCATAATGCAATGAAGCGATCAAGAAAACAATCATGTGTCAGGTAGATAAACCTCGCCCACCTCGACCAGGACAGTAGCTCGATGCCGTGTATGAGTATGCATGTTTGTATAAATCAAATAGAAAGATCTCAAAGCTCCTGCAAAGCTCTATACGTTGCTGGACACCCTGTCAGTTTGCATTCCTGACTTGCGACACATGAAGATGAAGGAGAGAGTGCAGAAGCAGCTGATCGAAATCTGAGGACTATCGCTGTTCTTGAGGTTGACTGAGTGACTGTCCTCATTTCAATCTCCGGCTCCTTGCTTGCCTTCACTCCCTCAGATGTGTAGTCTTGGTCTTGTCTCCAGGAGGACCATTCATCATGCCCCGAAGGCACAACAAACACAACGGATACCCTCTGAAACTTGTTCTTGGCTCGCAGAGCTTTCAACATGACAAGTAATAGCTCGAGTTCGATCGGGTGTGTCTGCGCCCGTGTCATCTGAAACGTGTACAGTACCCCGCTCGCTGACAAGCGCACCGCATCCATGCAAGGGAAGTTTGATGCCTTAGGCTTATAATATCCATTCGGCGTGATCTTCAGCTCTTGCAAGTCTCTAATTGATGACTGGAACTCAACGTACAAGCATCGCTTCAAGTTCAGCTCTTCCCACGCATTTCCATCACCCAGCCTATGCATTCTGTATTTTCCTCCTCCCTTCAGCATCTCGTGCGCAACTTGTTCAAAAGCTTTACCTGCGGCTGACTGATAGCCAGAATCAGGATCCGAAAAAGCAAACTCAACAACATGATCAAATTCACTTTCCACAAGTCTCTCAACGATCATCTTTTCTGCCTCGGCCGAGCATATTTTCTAGGCGCATTGCCCCAATCCTCTATGATCTTCTCTGCTTCACTCTGGTCAATACGATCCCTGTGCATATTGATGAAGAGTGACATCTCCTCGTCTGACCACAACGGCAAGAAATATCGCTGCGATCCATAATTCAAAATGTCCTTAAACTTTCCAAGCTTCGGTGAAGAAATTATGATGCTCTTCGCGGATTATGATCTCACATACTTCCCCTCGTCTCTGTACAGGTCACAGACATACCAGCCCCTGAACGTTCGAACAAAGTGTTGCGCTGCAGATTTATCTACGATCGGGCTCCATCTTCTCCATCGAAGTACCAATAATCACTCCCTATCTGATACACTACTTGCTTGTCACATTTCAAGTCTCCTCCACCTTCAGGTCTGGAAGTTTTGGGATTCTGTGTAAGTTGTGCACATTGCCGGATAAGAATGTTATTCAGCTGCTCCTTGCTATCTTCAAGCCGCTTCTTGTTCCCTTCAAGCCGCTTCTTGTCCCCTTCAAGCCGCTTCTTGTCCCCTTCAAGCCGCTTCTTGTCCCCCTCAAGCCGCTTCTTGTCCCCTTCAAGCCGCTTCTTGTCCCCTTCAAGCCGCTTCTTGTCCCCTTCAAGCCGCGTTATGTCCCCTTCAAGCCGCTTCTTGTCCCCTTCAAGCCGCTTCTTGTCCCCTTCAAGCCGCTTCTTGTCCCCTTCAAGCCGCTTCTTGTCCCCTTCAAGCCGCTTCTTGTCCCCTTCAAGCCGCGTTATGTCCCCTTCAAGTCGCCGTATCTGATCTCGAAGCGCAGTTACAGTCATCACAAGCACCTCCTTCTTCATTGGGTCGTCTTGATTTTGCATCTGCCTGAATGCATCCATGATCTCTTGCTGTACACCCTCAGTCTCTCCTCGCACACCTGCGATCTCGTGGCGTATATCTTTCATCTCTTGTTGTACACCTTTGATAGTTCCTTCGACACCTTCGATCTCGTCACTCTTCATCTCCTGCTGTTCTCCCTCCACTTCTGATTGCAATCTCTCCTTCTTCGCAGGATCTCCTCGGGGGTTTGAACCTTGCTTTGCATCTCGTCTCTTCCTGTCAGGCCCTGGGGGGGCAGCGCGCAGGTCAGACTCCCCCCAAGAGCTTCAATCTCGCACTTGGTGACGGCAGCACAATGGAGATGGAGAGTGGTCTCACCTTGTCTGTCCGCCTCACGCAAGCGACCGTGCATGCACGACTCACAAGCAGGGAACGTCGGACTCGGATGCCCTGATAATCACCAGCGGCTGATCGACCACAAACACATGCCAGCCCGGATCGTACAACCTGTTGATAGTTCATAGCACATCGACAGGCTTCGAAAACTTGCAAGTTGGATTTGACCGCTCGGTCGCTTCCGAAGTTGTCAGGAGGTGACTCAGTGACCGTTTCAAAGTGACTCAGGCTTGAAAACACTTGCGGCGGTGCTGACTCAGTGACTATCAGACAGCCTGGCAGTCCGACGAGGCCCGGGCCTGCGGAGTCCGATCCGATCAGCACACTCACGCCGGGTTCACCCCGGCCCGGTTCACTGATTCGCCGCCCGGCCATCGGATAGTCACGGTCTTATTAAGTTGCGGCCCCGCCCCGGAGCAAGACTGAAATATAGTTTATGACCAAGTATCAATATTTTATTGCATGATTGCCAGGCTTCCTGTACGTTTATCAGTTTTATCAATAAACCCTTCAGTAAACGCTCTTCAAGCACCTCCAACAGTTGGCCCCCTGTTTGCTCTGCTTGCTCTGCTTGCCTCGCCCTCCTCTTGTCCTACTTTCATCACACCTGATCACGTTACCTCAGACCTCTCCCTGCTCTCCTCTCTTGATCCGTCTCAAACATGCTTTCCATGCATGTGACGGTTTTGCGAGGACGGGAGTGAGGATGCGCGAGACTATTGCGAGCTGATCTGTGAAGCTGATGATGTGGATGCCGACCAAACTTTGCCGGCTCCTCTTCCTCCTCCTGCTTCTCGACTCCAGAGCCAGCTCTTTCTTGATCGTTCCTCCTCCTGGAGGCAGAGACGTTTCCGCGAGATCCAAGACTAGCAGTCACCGACGAAGCTCGTCCTCACACAAGAAGACAGCTTTCACGCAACGTCAGCGAGACTTCAAAGGCTCCCACACCACCATGGAGCAGCTGCTCCGCTCTCGCTACCGCAAGGAAGCTCACAGCGATGAGCGGATAGGAGGGAACGTGAGCATCGCCCTGGAGAGCATCGGCTGGACTTACGGCTCTTGCTTCGGCCCCAGCCCCGAGAGGACGTGGGCAGCTGAAGCTGTACTTGCTGCCTCCCTCCGAGACGCTCTCAGCTCACTGCAGCCTTTGATGAGCATGCCTCTCAACCTCGCGACTGCGCAGGATTCAGGCATCGAGGAGGAGGAAGAGCTGCTGGCGGGGCGAGAACTTGTTCGGAACGACAGGCCGGCAGTGGAGTCCAACGTAGTGGTGGGGGACGACAAGGGAGGAGAAGGAGGAAGAGGTTTTTCTAAGACCCATGGCTCATTCAGAGCTCGTGAGATCGTCTCTTCTGACGCCATTCAAGATGTTTGCAAGGTGCTGGTGAGCAACATATTCAAGGTTGTTCGGGTGATTACCAAGTCTCCCCTCGCCCCACGAGAGGGGCTGCTACTGGAGGTGCATAACTCTATAGCGATGACGGACAAGACCGTGGGTTCAAGGCGGGGCAAACACTCATTGTCCTCTTCCTCTTCCTCTTCCTCTTCCTCTTCCTCTTCCTCTTCCTCTTCCTCTTCCTCTTCCTCTTCCTCTTCCTCTTCGTCGTATCTCACATTCTTAGATCATAAGGGAAATCTCATCACGTTCACAATTGCCGAGGTCGACGAGATCGCCGTCTGCAGTCTTGCAGGCTCAGAGGATTTCCTGGTGTTGGACTTCATCTCCAAGCTGTCAAGGCAGGGAGTTGACATCCCCAAGACGATCCTCGACGACCATCATCTCGTCATCCTCCGCGCCCTCGCTCAGAGCATCGGCCGTCACGTCCTCTACCAGAACCTGCGGCACTCCATCCTCGGCTTCTCTGCCTACCGCTCGCTCTGGACCGATTTCCTCTCCAGCAGAGGCGAGGAGACGCCGGAGACTCTCTTCTCACCAGCTCGGCGAGGGTGGCTGGTGAAGGTGAAGTCGGATGTGGAGGCGTACAGTAGGACGGGGAGCAGCAGGAGCAGGTGGGTCCCTGTAGAGGAGGTGCTTCCGATGTCAGAGTACGACCTTGACGCCTACGGGACTTACCGGCATGAGCTGCATCCTTCCTCCGAATTCGACTTGCAGCGCCATGACTCCCTCCTGCACCGGCGGTACATGCTGTCTGCGAGCAAGGAAGAGTTGAACGAGCGGATCGGATGATTATGAGGAACAGCGATGGGGGCGTTGAGAGAGGAGAACATCACAGCGATGGTGATGGTGGTGGTGGAGGAGAGGGGGCAAGAAGAAGAATAAGAAAGTTTATTAACATGATCCCCACAAGTGTCATTTCCTGTAAAAAAAATATCTCTTGTCTCCTCCAGCTCTTCCTCCACCACCTGGCCCCCAACATTCCACTGGTTTCAACGATAGCGCGTCCCCTCCACTCTCCAAGTCCTCCACTAGCAGCAGACCAGTCAACTGACAGCGTCGTACCCTCGTTAGTCCTGCCTTCATCTGCTCCAGCGCTGTCAGCTGTTGATCCCGCCCGAGAGGAGCCTCGGAGCATAGCCGAGGTAGAGGCAGCTCACGAGCCCCAGCTGCTGAGCGCCTCCTGGGTACGAGGAGTCGAGGCAACATGGACGTCGGAGTAGGTGGCGCCCTCCTGGTAGCACTTCTGATGCACCAGGAAGAGACCTGCGCTGTCGACTTGCCCGTTGCCGTTGACCCTGACGGCTCCTCGAAACACCCACCGATCCTCCTCCTTGTCATACTCCTTCTTCATCTTCTCGCTGCACGCTGAGCATCGAGGGTCCCCGGTGAACGCCCCGTCGTCAGCAGGCACGACGCTCTCCTGAAAGGCTGCGCTCTCTTGTGGGGGCTGCCCGTCCACCTGCACCTTCAGATCGACAGGCTTGCGGAGGACAAGGTCCTTGCACGCGGTCCACTCGGAGATGACCTTGAACCAGTGCCGCTCTCGTGCCCCCAAGTTCTCCTTCTTTGCCCGGTTGATCTCAAACAACCGGTCAAGGTGGTTGCTGAGATCCTCCTGTGATCTGAATCTTCTCCCGTCTGTCTTGCAGATGAAGGGCTGACCCTCGTAGAGCCGGTAAACCACGTCCAACACCTCCCGACTGTAAGAGGAAGTTAGCGACAGCCAGAGAGAGAGAGAGAGAGAGAGAGATAGATTCAGAGCATGCAGATCACGGGAACAAGCACGATCAGTTATGAAGACGAGCAGATGAACATCAAGGAGATGTAAACCAGACAGATCAGCAATGAGAGCAGAGCAATTAAACATATGAGAGAAGGGGACAACCTGGTTCAAAACCCAAACTCATACACAGCAACAAGCAAACAAAAAAGATCGCAAGCAACAAGCAAACAAAGACGACCGCAAGCAGCAAGTTAAATAGATCACAAGCAATAAGCAAATAACAAGATCGAACCTGTTGAGATCCTTACTGTTGAGCTGCCTTGGAGCATACTCTTCCTGAGAGGCTGCAGGAGCAGGAGGCATGCTTGAAATATCAGATATTCCTACTTTATTACTCACGACGGAATCTTTCACTCCTACCGCGTCCTTGAGCCCCTGTTGAAGCTGAAAATCCTCCAACAACTGTTGGAGGGGGTTGGGCTGCGGAAGGAGGTGAGATTCTATCATCTGCACGTAAGGGTCACGCTCGTGCTCCTCCTCCATCCTCATACGCCAGCTCAAGGCAACAACACCAACCTGCATGTTTGGAGGCAAGCCCGACAACCCCATGGGCTAAGAAATCTGGTCAAACACTGCCGGGGGTAGAAGAAGCGAGAAGAAGTTTGGCGTGCAAGCATTGAAGTGGGACATCATGTAAGACAGGAATTAAGAAGCAGAGAAGGAGAGAGGCGGCTAGGACACAGCAGGAGCACGCAAGACAATGCACACCTGCGATGCTGACATCATCCCATTCCCTCCCATCCCAGAACTATGATAACCACCATAGTTGCCACCAAGAGGTTGCATGATTGAGTGCTGAGGAGCTTGACTCATCGGAGGGGGAGCATTGAACATGTTCGGCTAATGCAGCAAGTCAAATTTCAACATCATCGTCATGTCAAGTTGCTGACAATCACCTGAGCAGGTTGCTGCGGCATCAAAGAGTTGACAAGACCATACACCTGTTGAGAATGTAAGCCAGTTCCTTTTCGTCGTCTGTTTCACTCACTCTGTTCTGCAGCAGAGTCTGCTGCTCTTGTATGGATGAGACTGTGACCGGGTTGTTCGGGATGTTTCCGTGCATTGGATTCATCCCAACAGCAGGATGCATTCCTCCCCCGTGGTACCCAGGCATCATCCCAGACCCGTTCCCTGCAGCCAACCGCGTTAGGAGGCACTTCAGTGCGCAGCTCCTGGTACCTGGAACCCCTGGCATCATCCCCCTCCTCTCAGGCTCTGGTCGCCGGTCTAGTCCAGGACGATTGGAGGGGATGCCGGACTGAGGGGAGGAATCACTTCCTGATGCGGGGGGAAAGAGATTTGACCTGGAGCATGGCGGCGAGACGAGTGCGAATCTCTTCGTTCTTAGCGGGAGGAAAGACAGATTGAGCCTGGAAGATCGAGTGAGATGACATCATTTGAGCGAACAGGAGGCATATCGAGGCGACAGTATCACCTTCCATGTGTCAAGCAGCTTGATGTAGGATGCACGCGTTTGATTGTCCACAGCAGCGAACGAGGTACAGAAGATGTCTGTCAGATTCTGACAGCAGCCAAGACGTCAAGACGCGCGGTAGGCGAAGCGCGACGTCACCTGCACGAAGAGATGTGTGTAGATGGCTCCGACGTTCTTGACGATCGAGTCCATGAGGTAGAGAGGGATGAGCTTCTTGTTGGGGGGAAACTGAACGGCAACCAGGTCAGGGGCAGCACAAAGAAAGCAGACTGTACCATTCGGATGCATTTTTCTATACAGGCTACGATGCCGTTTGCAACTGGAGGCGCGTCGATGTTGTCGGACGCGAGCATGGTCAGGACATTTATTACTCCCTTGTCCGGTCGCTGCATGCCCACCAGCTCGCTTTCATAGCTCTGAAGAAACTCGATTGCTGCGGGGTCCATGGTGATAGTTTCCACCTGCAATTAGTCGCGTTCAGAAGCTGTTTCAAGCTGAGAACATCAATCAAGTAGCAGCAAGCAAGGTGTGTTCAATCAATTCCTCATCCTTCTCCAACTCGCGTTCACAGGACGCCATCAACAATGTAAGTCCGAGATTCCTTGTTCTCCATGTACTGATTTATCTACTCGGATTTGCATCGATTATTATCATGCAGAGGTTTGCTTGCATTCCACTTTGCTTTGTGCACATGGCTTGTTTGGTTGCTTGTTACAGTTGAAGAACCTCCTCTTCGACTACAGCATCTTCTTTTTGTCTATTCACTGCTGTACATGTCCTTGTGACAGTTGCATAAACAACTTCAAACCAATGCTGTCAGAAAACTTGTCCCTCAAGCCTCTGCTTCTACTTTTGCGTATGCAATTATTTCTGCCTCTGCCTCTGCCCTGCCGCTGCCCCTCCTTCTACATCGACAATTCTTAGTCTGTGGCATCAGCCTATCCTCCTTTCCTTATCTTCTTTTCACATACTCTGAAATCATCTCCTCCTCTCCTTGCTCGTGCTCCTCCTCTCCCCCCTCCCTCCCTCCCTTCCTCCCCTTCTTCCATAGACGCGTGCCGCTGTCGCTGCAGCCAAATGAGTTTCAGAGGACCACCCCTCCTGATATCAGGACCCCCATTTGAGTAACAACAGACTTCAATATCAACCACCCTACCCCCAATCAACTATGTTCTTGATGGGAGCGGCGGGGTACTCTCACCGACCACAGGGTAGATACGTGCACAGGGGGACGATGAATGAAGTATAACAAAAGGGTAGGGTGGTCAACATACCCCTCATGCTTACTATGAAAGGACCAGCATCGTCAAGGGAAAACCAAAATGGCTGGGGTAGTCAGGGGCAAAGGGGGTGAAATGCTAGGCAGGACATGCCCTGGATAGAGACAAGGGCGGGAAGGAAGAGATGAGACTAGCGGGAAGAGACGAGACTAGCGGGAAGAGATGAGACTAGCGGGAAGAGATGAGACTAGCGGGAAGAGACGAGACTAGCGGGAAGAGACGAGACTAGCGGGAAGGAAGAGACGAGACTAGCGGGAAGAGATGAGACTAGCGGGAAGAGATGAGACTAGCGGGAAGAGACGAGACTAGCGGGAAGAGATGAGACTAGCGGGAAGAGACGAGACTAGCGGGAAGAGACGAGACTAGCGGGAAGGAAGAGACGAGACTAGCGGGAAGAGACGAGACTAGCGGGAAGAGACGAGACTAGCGGGAAGAGACGAGACTAGCGGGAAGAGACGAGACTAGCGGGAAGAGATGAGACTAGCGGGAAGGAAGAGACGAGACTAGCGTTAAGGAAGAGACGAGACTAGTGGGAAGAGACGAGACTAGCGGGAAGAGATGAGACTAGCGGGAAGAGATGAGACTAGCGGGAAGAGACGAGACTAGCGGGAAGGAAGAGACGAGACTAGCGGGAAGGAAGAGACGAGACTAGCGGGAAGGAAGAGACGAGACTAGCGGGAAGAGACGAGACTAGCGGGAAGAGACGAGACTAGCGGGAAGAGACGAGACTAGCGGGAAGAGACGAGACTAGCGGGAAGAGACGAGACTAGCGGGAAGAGAGGAGACTAGCGGGAAGAGATGAGACTAATCTACTTCAACTGCACGATCGGAAGGAGGGAAGAATTGTTCAACATGGCATCGAGTCTGTGGCAAGAGCGATGGTAAAGGACGGATAAGGACAAGAGAAGAAGAAACAAACTGGTGCACCAAGACGTGATGAAAATTGATTTCATTGACCTCTACCTCATACATCTCTGTTCTCAATGTTTACATGATGCGTTCGGCGTTAGATGGTAAGTCATGTCTGGCAGGCAAGAAGATAAAGTACACAAGCTTCCTTTCCCACTTCGCTAGCTCATGGTGGGAACCGACCGGGGAGCTGGAACATGCTCTGAAAGCGGCAACATGCGAGTCAGAATACCATGGTGGCAAAAGGAGGAGGCTGACCAGGCCCTGAGGGCAGATGGAGCAAGTTGCTCTTACTGGGCACGACGATGTCCGAGATGGGCTCGATGAAGCGAATCTTGTCCGTTGAGATTCCATGGCTGCCATCCAGGCTCTTCCAGCCCCCGTCCTGTCGAGCCGACTGAGCGGAAGGATGGAGTATCAACAGACGTTACCTTGTTGTCTTCTCCCCTTCTCCCCTCCTCTTCTTGAAACCCTCTGCCCATGAGAACAGAGCTGTCGGCTATGGAATCCTTCCTATAGCTAGTGCTCCACCCTATGATCTCTTCGTGCATCGAGATATCGAGTCGATTAGTTGAAATTGGAACAAGCCCTGGAACAATGCTGTCAAGATACCTCTCCTCCTCCTCCTCCTTCTCCCTCTCCTGCTCGTCCTCTCGTCCTCCCTCTTCTCCTCTCCTGATCCATTCCTATCTTGCTGCTCTTCTACTTGCAAACAACCTCGTGCGATCCGATGAGAAGGCACATCGTTGATCTTAGACGTCCTCTTGATGTATGCAGATCTGTCGTGGAGTGTGACTGACAGTCAAATGGGAAGGAGGGAGAGGGAAGGAGGGAGAGGGAAGGAGGGAGAGGAAAGGAGGGAGAGGGAAGGAGGGAGAGGGAAGGTTTGTAGGAGGAGGACAAGTACTTGGTCAGAGGCTTGTGCGACTCATGAACGGGCTCATTGCCGAACACAGAGGAAGCCAGCGATCCTTCGTCGCCTGCACTGTGACCTCGCATCGACCTCTGGAGGGGAGGGAGCTGCTGCATCGGGAGTCTGGACGTTTCTTGCATCAGCTTGACGAGGACGGGAGGAGGGCCGTGGCTCAGCGCGTTCTTCATGCCGTCAGGGGCTGTTGCGATCTTGCTCTTGCCCCTGCTTTCACCACGTGGAGTAAGTAACGTGTACAAGGAAATGGCAGCAGGGGGGATAGAGAGGAGCGTGTGAAAGTTTGCGACCTTCTGAAATCTCTGCTGAACAACTGATCCTTGCTGCCCTCATCGAGGAGGACGCCGTTGCTGTCCCGACGTCCTTCATTGTTCTTGGGGACCGTCACATTGCTGCATACAGCGGGTAAGAAGGAGGATGAAAAGGGGCAACGAGAGGAGGAGATGATGCGAATGAAGGAGCAGAAAAACTCTCACATAGTCGGCAAGCGCAAGGTTGTCTTGTCTGCTCCGAGATTTTGCCTCCTCTGAAAGTTCCTGGCAGACAATGAGCTGGTTGAAGACGTTTCCCTTCCTTACTCCTGCTACTCTCTGCCTCCTCACTTCTGACCTCTACTAACCCCCCGCCCTCCACGCTTGCCCCTCCCTGTCTCTTCGCTCCGCTGTACTCCCTTTCTCTGGACTCCTCCTCCTCCTATCCTTCTCCATCCCCGCGTTTCTCATCCTCCGACTCTGCATCTTCACCTTGGGCTCGAACCGAAAGGCAGGTTAAGGCGCCTCGCTCGCTTCTCCTCGTGCACAGAGAGCCCGTCCTTGCCTCCTCCTTTCTCTGCTCCTTCCTCGACCCTAAACATCATGATCATGCAGGGCGACAGCAGAGGTAGTCGCGCACTTGAGTGAGCTTGCAAGTTCCTCCTCCTCCGGCTTCGTGCGGCTAACATCCTCCACCGACCGCAATGCCTGTACTCCAACACTCACTCTCGTACCGCCTCTGTTTCTCACTCGCCCTCTGGGTCCAGCCCGCAGCTCGTCTTGGGCGAGTTCGCTGTGCTAAGTTGTCTTCAGCATTCTGCTATGCAATCGTCAGTTCATGGAGCATCGTTACATCCTATCTTGCATTGTCTGAATTGTTCTGTGTGATCTGTCGGATCGCGGAAACTATTTTTGATTGTACGTGAGCATATCTGAAATGGAGTTAAGGGACGGAGATGACAGTGCAGAGCGAACAACCGATCGGACTTCTTTCTAGTTTGTTGCTCATCTGCTGCAACGTCAGCTAAATCATCGAGTGGATGAAGCATCGCAACCTTTTGCCCGAGACGGAGCGACTAGCGTAACTGAGTCCCCTCGTTCCTGGTCCTCAAGCTCAGAAACTCCTCGCATCAAGCGCAATCTTACTTGTATGCAGCATGCTGCAACTACTGGGGTCTTGATCCCTTCCAGCTGCAAACATTTTCACTTCCTCCTTCCACAACAACTCCATCTCACCATTCCAGGGATATCCTTCCACAATCCTTCATCTACCTTGAAGATCGAGAATCGCAGCTGGAAGGGGGTTGAACAACATCTGCATAACTAACAGGGAATCGCGCACCTGTCCCGTGTCCATGTCCAGTAGCGCCTTCACGCGATCACCAACTTGCAACTTTGGAACTTTCATCTCGGGCCCACCAACCTGCTCGTGTCATGCTCAGTTCCACCTTGGCATCAGCTGCGCTCCTTCACCTCCTTGCTCACTACGTCATCCCATCCGTTCCTCAGCGCGTTTGTGAACCCGCACCCGAAGTAATACCAGACCTGCCTCAAGCTTCAGCCTTCTCCTCCTTCCTCTCCTCGTCCCTCCTCCTCACCTGGTCGACTGCGCATCTTCTACACCATGTCTGCTGCAAGTGGATCGTCTACGATCCTCGTCAGGAGGCCGAGAAGGGCCCCAGCTGGAGCCGAGCTCACCGGAACAGCGACCCCAACGTAGACATAACCGTCGTTGTAACGATTGATCGCGAACTCCAACTCATGCTGCCCTTGGCTGTAGACCTGCTTCCCTCATCACGCACTGACATGCAACGCCGCGCCCTCACCTTGTCGCCCAGTCCAACGGCGAAGTCAGGAGAGTCTCTTGTCTTGCATATCTGCGCTCCCGAGATCTGTTTCGATACTATCAAACCATGACACCACAGAATAAACAAGCACCTTCATTGACGGGACACCACTATCCTTCCATACCACCTCTTTCCCGCTCTCCTTGCCCGACATCTCAGGCATCCTCCTGTCCTAGAGGTCGACTGCACTTTATCCGCCACACGACATGATCTTGACTGAGGTTTTCTTGTCCTCCCTATGTCAGAGTTCAGTACTGTACAACTCGGTTGGAAATGCAGATGTGGTTTTTAGAGCACATGAAGGGCCATTGACAAGGATGTGAGGCAGGATACATTTGAATCTCTACGTACAACCTCTCAGGTTCCTTGAAACTGAGAAATGAAGGTCTAGAGAGGGGAATGAAGTCCAATTACACAAACAGCACTTTTCGTTTCCCATGGCGATCTTTCATCCAGCCTTCGCCATTATGTCACTATCGCACCCGCGGGGGCCTCTGCACCCATGCTGCTGTTCTAGTGGTTACACCCCACCCTTCATCTATCCTCCCTTCTGACCACCACCTCTTCCTGCCCGCTCTTCGCCTTCCCTTCCTTTCCATCCTCTAAACTGCTCTCAACTGCTCTGTGTTCTGCCCTCTGCTGCCCTCTGCTGCCCTCTGTCCAACGATGCTTTCTGCTCTCTGCTCTCCCCTGCTCCTCTCTGCTTCCCTTCTTCTCCTTCTCCCCTGCCTCCCCCATCCCCCCGTCGCTTCAACGGCAGCATGCCATCTGCAGGTGTAACGATAAATGTAACGATACGTTATTCGATTTCCAGCCGTTATCTATAACCGGTGTAACGTTCCCCCAAATGATATTTCGGTAAGAATGTTCAGGGTGGGGTAGTGCTCGGAATTAACGGGTGGGTACCAAAGCACTGGTATGTTTAGAGAAGTAATCTCTTCTAGAGGGGGTACATCAAATGTTGTGAGCGAGTGTTCCCTGGTGGGTGATTTGAAGACATGGGGTAGGGTCCATGGCAAGCAGGCAATGACATGGGAAATGCTCCTTAGTGAAAGCTCGTAGCGGCAGGTTGGGGAGGGGCAGGAGAGAGGATGCAGCAGGAGCTGCGTCCCTCGCGATGATTCATGGAGGGGATGTGAAAGGAGAGCAAGAAATATAGCTGATGCTGTTGAAATTCAGATGATTTGCTATGCCAGAGTCAAGGCGAATACCTTGTCAATGAGTGTTGACAGTCTATGATGGAAGAAGGACGCTATCCCTCTCTTTCTTGAGTTCAAACTTCACGTAGATAGCATCAACTTCATGTAGATAGCATCGTCTCTGCTACATATTCTGCCTTCTCCTCCTCCATTATTGCTCCTGTCGTGGTCTGATGAGTAACTCATTTATTCCCCGGCTGCCATACGCCATGATCTCCAACCCCTCATCAATCGCCATGGAATCTTAGTTTGTATATTTATGCCATTGGAAGGAAGTGTTTAGGGCAGATGAAGAAGCGACCAAATCCGAGTGGCATGATGTAGCCACAGCAGAACAGTGAGGGCTGAGGAGGATGAGACGTTACGAGAACGAGAGGAGAAGCATAAGATTTGAAGGAATCATATCAGAAGGTGCGATGAAATTCACGGGTGATAGCTAGGGAATAGAAAAAAATGCATCATTCTTCATCGTCTCAGACGATAACTCGTTACTTTCCTTCCATCTTTCCGTCTGGTGTGCTTTGATCACTGTTCTCAGAGCAAGTTGGATCTTCGTTACGTGTTCTCCGTCATGGAGATTCTTCTTCTCCGAGGAGCGAAGAATGTTGGGTCCAAGCTGATGTCCACCGGTAGCGCTGCCATCTTGACCTGCTCGTGCGAGTGACATCATGACAACAAGATGACGCCAACTGTGTTGACGAGGAAGAGATCAATCAGCACGACAAGGTTCTGTCCTGAAGTATCTTAGGCGATACTCTTGATACGCTCGCAGGTTTGGAAGGGAGGAGCGCCAAGAGTGAGGACGGGAAAGAGCGACAGCGCGATGGAAGTGTCAGATGTGCGTGAAACTTCTTGCTTGCTATGACACTGATTGTGTTGCTTGCTATGACACTGATTGTGTTGCTTGCTATGACACTGATTGTGTTGCTTGCCATGACACTAATTGTGCTCTCAAGGTTGGAAAGATTGTCAAGCAGCAGCTTTCTCTCATGAATTTCGGCGGTGAGGGTCAGATCGGCAAAAGTTTGAAATCGATCCCAGAGAAGGCAACTGCATGGTGCAACAATTATCTCAAGCCTGTCATGGTACACAGAAAGACAAGTGGCGAACAAGGTTGTGCTGGTTTTTTCCCTTCTTGTTTCCTGACCTTCCGGTCAGAAGGAAACATTGTTGTGCCCGAAGAGACAAGAAGTTGTCACAATGAAACAAATTCATCTCATGATGCTGCGAGATCAAGTTCAAATGCAAATGATGAGCATCGGATTGAACAAGCTGCTGCATCGTCTGAGGGCGAGGGCAGCAACAGGGAATGTGAAGGTGAATCTGATTGTTGAGAGTGCAAAGAGGCTAACGCAAGTTTGATGGAAAGATGCGAGTGAGGTTGAAACGGTCAGTGATTCCGTCTAAATGTTTTCTTTGACGATGGTGAACCGTATCGAGAGGTGTTAGTGACAATTTGTTTCAGACGAGAGTGAAAGAGACTGCTGAACAGATTAGGTTGTTGCATGCACTGGGCCCTGCAGTGTTTGTTCTCATTTCTTCTATCACAGGTTGAGGGCAGAAAAACAATTAGAAGAGACCAGGAGATCGTTTCTCCTCAACTTGAATCCGGGTGAGTGAAAGTCAAGCTTGCATTGTCTGTCTGACTTCCTTGAAGGAGCATGGGAGAAGATGGCGGATGAAGGTTTCTTTCAGAAGGCTGAGGTACTTGTTGCCTCTTCTCTCACTGCTTCTCCCTGTGCATTTTGTCTGTTGTCCGCATGTACCTCCTGTGTTCACTCTCCTTATTTTGTCATCTCCTTCATTTCCTCTCTCCTCTCCTCTGCTCTGCTCTCCTCGCTCGTCGATATAATTGGAATTTGCAGGATGATATGCTGGCGGCGGCAAAGATGGAGAAGAGTGAGAGAGGAACAACCCGCCGATATGCAGAACTGCTGCACGCACTCGGTAGGACGAGGAAGAGTACGAGAAAAAGTACGAAGAAGAGTACAAGGAAGAGTACAAGGAAGAGTACGAGGAGATTCGAGGAGAGAAGGAAAGAGACGCAGAGTGGGGAGGGAGGTGACGAAAGTTTTCATGTGCAGGGGCACTGTATGATCGCAGAAGCTACCTGGACGAGACGGGGCAGCGGCATTTGCAGTCTCTTCAGTCTGCTGAGTTCTTGTGGGACCGGCGGTAGAGGTTGCGGCTGCTGCTGACGCTCCAGCAGGAGGATGTCGATTGAAGCGAGACAGCAGGGGGGGCAAGAATATGGTATAGACTACGTCCTCTTGATATTTTCCCCTCCCTTCTTTCCTCCCTCTTCTTCCTCTTTCCCCCTCCCTTCTTTCCCCCTCCCTTCCTTTCCCTCCTTTTCCTCCTCTTTCCTCCCCTTCCTCCTCCTTTTCCCTCCTCCTTTCCGTCCTCTCACCCCCTGAACTTTCTTGCTCCCCTCCTTCCCCCCCTCCCCCTCCGTTGTCTTGTTTGTGTTCGTTTTTATCAGCTTCTCTCGCTCCTCCTGCTCTTGGTGGGATCTCACATCTCCTCAGGCCTGACAGCAGAGGACGAGGAACGTCTTGCTGCCTCCCTGGTCTTGCGCGCGCAGTCGCTGTGCAATTACGCGCTTGATGGAGCCACCCATCCAAGGTGCCGATGACGAGGGGCGGAGGGAGCGGTGTATGCGAGTGATTTGGGAATGAGTTCGGTGTGGAGGGGATTCATTTTACAGGAGAAAAGAGTAGTGGGGTGAAGAGGCAAGAAGGAGGGAGAGTGACGAAGGGGCAGGAGAAAGGGGAGTGAGGCGAGTAGGAGGAGCAGGAGGAGCAGGAGGAGCAGGAGGAGCAGGAGGAGCAGGAGGGGCAGGAGGGGCAGGAGGAGCAGGAGGAGCAGGAGGAGCAGGAGGAGCAGGAGGAGCAAGAGGGGCTGGATGGCAATGCTCATACAACATGCAGCATGTCGGGGCGTCAGGCCTTTGATGATGCTGAGGAGAATCTGAGCATGGCGATTGACATACGAGCAAAGCTCAAAGATGCAACGTTGGCTGAGGTGTGGCTTTACTCTCTCCTCCGAACCCCCCCAACCCCCACCCCCCATCCCCCTCCTCCTGTTCCTTGTCGCATCACTCCCCTCCCCCATCCTTTTCTTATTCCTCCCGTCGTCCCTCACCTTGAACTACTTGATCTTTACCATGCACTTGCTCTGTTCCTCCCAAGTCCTCTGGTTGTATCCTTCTCCCTCCCCGTTTCTCCTCCTCGTCTTGTTCTCATTTCTTCTTCCTTCCTTTGGCTAAACGGTTTGTTCAGGCATCGCAAGCCATGGGGTATCTCTACCTACTTCTCTTCATCCCTTTTCGATTATCTCCTATCTCCTTTTCTTTACCTTTCTTCCTCTTTGTCTCTGTTTCTTCTTCCCTCCTCTCTCCTCTTCCCTTCTCCCATCCCTCCTCCTCCCTCCTCTCTCCTCCTTCCTCGTTTTCCTCCCTCTCTTTCCTTCGTCCTCCTACTTTCTCCTGTTTCCCTCCCTCCCTTCTCACTGCTGTACAGTTACCTTCACTACACGCGGGGTACCTGCATCCTTGAAGATCCTCCGAAAGAGAAATATACCAACAACCCCAACGACACTCCATCTTCTCTCTACCTCAAGGCCCTCGAGGTCCTGCCCCTACCCCTGCCCCTGCCCCTGCCCCTCCTTCTCCTCCTCCTCCTGCCCAGCCCCTTCACTTATTTGTTCTCTTCCTTCTCTTGTCGCTCTTTGTCTTGGTGGGATCATGGCAGTGTCAGTTGCGTCGTACCTGAGATGCCGATGCTGCTTCAGCCCTACTTCGAAGCGCTGGCGATGTACGTGCAAAGAGACGGCGAGGACGCGGAGACAACCATCAGAATGCACTGTAACATAGCGCTGGTAAGGTCACCAAGATGAGGGCAGAGGGTGGGCCGAGAAGAGTTGTTGTTGTTGTTGTTGGTGGTGGTGGTGGTGGTGGTGGTGGTGGTGGTGGTTAGGGAGAAAGGGGAGGAGAAGGAACGGGAGGGAGGGAAGGAGGGAGGGAAGGTGGAAGGGAGGGAAGGAGGGAGGGAGGAAGGAGGACGAGCTTGTGACATTTTCGTGAAGGTCTACGGACAATTAAGTCGGGCAGATCCTTGTCAATATATTGAGTCAGCAGAGCAGGTAGATCCTATCTCTGATTTTTCCTTCCTCTTCCTCGCATCTTTCGTCCTCCCTCCCTAGCTTCCGCTCACCCTCTCCCCTCCCATCTCCCCTCCCCGTCATCCCCTCTGCCTCCTGTACTCCACTTTCTTCTTTGACCTCTTTCGCTTTCGCCTCCCTGACCTCCTCCTCATACTGCAACTGCAGTGGTACAAGAAGGCGTTGGAGGAGCAGACGAGAGTCTTTGGGCGTACGCACAGGAGGACGAGGAGGTTTGACATGTCGCTTTGCTGCTCCGCTCACAGTCTGCAGGCTGTTGGAAGACTTGGGAGTGATTCAGCAGAGGAAGTCGCAGATGCAGGCAGACCTTGATCGGGGGAGGTGAGGAGCGGGAGTGCAAGGGAGGAGGAGAGGTGTAGGAACATGCAATGAGGGGAAGGAACGAGGGATCGATTGTCATGTCGTCGTGGAAGTCCTCTTTGTTGATACTCTTTCCCGGATTAGTGTTGGTGTTGGTGATGATGTCAAGAAGATCAAGCCGGCAAGCTGGTTTATCGCTGGTTTTCTTGATGATGGTTGTTGATGATGACGACGAATGCGGTATCTTTGTCGTTATTCAGAAGTAGGAAGAGAGCGAGAAAGGTTTGGCTTTTGACATGTCATGACGAGACACTCAGGGCGATCGTGACTGATACAGTGACAAGAAAAGAGTATTGCTATCCCTTCAGCATTACGTTCGTCACTGTCAAGCAGGTTGGAGTTGGAAGCTCGAAAGCGAAAGGAGGAAGGCAATCAGCTGATGGCTGAGTTCCTCGCGGTATGCCAGCAGTGGAGGGGCTGGAGGAGGAGGAGGAGAGAGGAGGAGGAAGCTGAAGGGAGAGGGCAGGTCAGGAGACAGGAGAGGTTTCAGGAGCAGCAGCAGCGGTATTCGAAGGGAGAGCACGAGGAGCAGCCGCAGGCTCAGCGAGTTGTTGAGACAACTGCCAGCGACATGTTTGCATCCTCAAGAGCAGACCTGAACATCTTCGGCGAATTCAACTTCTTCAACTTCGGCTTCACCTCATCTGATGCCCATACCTCTCCTCGCAACAGGCAAGCGCCACAAATTCCACAACTTCCTTCTCTTCCTCTCCTGCGCTCTTACTCTGATCCTCTGCTCCTCTCTTCTTTGACGAGTAGCAGATGCACGTCTCCTGTTCGTCAGCGCGAGCAAGTTCCTCCTGAGCATGAGGCGCGGCATCGCGTTCCTAGTCGAGTGGTGCAGCAGCATGAGGCTTCTGCTCCCTCCTTCAGGTCGCCTGCCATGCCTGCCCTCGCGCAGCTGACATCCGAGCAGACGAGAGAAATGGACGGGCGTCAAGGTGCTGGGCACGGAGACAGAAGGCTTCTCCTGATGGCGACGATAGAGAAAGGAAGGGACGGGAGGAGAGATCAGGGCATAGCAGGAGACTGGAGGGTACGGTAGACGCCAGGCTGACAGGGGCCGGGGGGCTCGACGTCAAGATGTAGCATGATGATGGATTAGCTTGATTGTGATCGGTTTATTACTCGCTATCTCATCCAGCATCTCCTCGCCCCCTCTTCCTCTATGTCTCGTCATCGTCATGGTCCAGCCCAGCCCAGCCCTCGTCCTCTCTTCCCTTTCCCCGCCAGCAGCCTTCTCTTCCTATCCCCGATGAGATAACCCCTGGTACAGGCCTGCCTCGACGTGCGCCATGGCCTCCTCCAACAGCGACGGAGCCTCGTACCTGCTCTCCTGTACGAGCGGCCGGGTCTTATCCCCGCAGGCTCCTCCTCCTGGCTCGCGTCCTCCAGGACTTCTGGCAGCTTGCTCGACGAGGCGCGTGCGACAGAGCGCAGCGAGCACAGCTCGGGGTCATCCAGCAGCCCCTCCTCCTCCAGAAGCGACAGCCTCTCCCTCTCCGAGTGCGGCCACCTGCACACGCCCACCTTCCTGCACACGGTCTTGAAGGCCGTCAGCGACAGTCCCTGCGCCCCCTCCCATCAGTGCTGGCTGAGTGAGAGGCGCAGCGCACGCGTCTTACCAGGTGTTGGGCAGCGTCGACCTGGCGGAGGTGGAGGAGAGTGAAGACTTGACGGGCAGAGACGACGAGGTGGGAGCATCGTCGATGAGGACCTTGGGAGGTCTTGCGGGGGAAGACGTGAGCGACGCGAGGCTGGAAGATGCCGGAGGCGGACATGGAGGTTGAGCAAATATCAGATGCAATCTGTTGGTGTAGAAGAAGGCGATGTAAAGAGAAGTCAAGAGGAGGATGATGTTGCTGAGGAAGTCAAGAGAAGGATGATGTTGCTGAGGAAGTTGATAAGAGGAGGATGATGTTGCTGATGAAGTGTTGGCTTGATCAAGTTCGTGCCGCTGTGCTACCGAACATGGCGGGGCGGGAGGGGACAAGTGAAGCACGTTATCTGTACCCCGTCCGATCGCATCTCGTCTCCCCGGATACCTAAGCAGGTCTCACTGCGCATCGTTTCGCATCTCTTCAAGTAGGGTCAAATGAGAAGGAGTCTTTTGGGAGGGGATGGCGGTCAGGCGGGGACAAATTGTTCGAAGCGACGTGAATGTGAGGTTGAATCACAGGGGCAAGTTCGTTAGATTGAATCACAGGGGCAAGTTCGAAGCGACGTGAATGTGAGGTTGAATCACAGGGGCAAGTTCGTTAGATTGAATCACAGGGGCAAGTTCGTTAGAACCTCACATTCACGTCGCTTCGAACAATTTGTCCCCGCCTGACCGCCATCCCCTCCCAAAAGACTCCTTCTCATTTGACCCTACTTGAAGAGATGCGAAACGATGCGCAGTGAGACCTGCTTAGGTATCCGGGGAGACGAGATGCGATCGGACGGGGTACAGATAACGTGCTTCACTTGTCCCCTCCCGCCCCGCCATGTTCGGTAGCACAGCGGCACGAACTTGATCAAGCCAACACTTCATCAGCAACATCATCCTCCTCTTATCAACTTCCTCAGCAACATCATCCTTCTCTTGACTTCCTCAGCAACATCATCCTCCTCTTGACTTCTCTTTACATCGCCTTCTTCTACACCAACAGATTGCATCTGATATTTGCTCAACCTCCATGTCCGCCTCCGGCATCTTCCAGCCTCGCGTCGCTCACGTCTTCCCCCGCAAGACCTCCCAAGGTCCTCATCGACGATGCTCCCACCTCGTCGTCTCTGCCCGTCAAGTCTTCACTCTCCTCCACCTCCGCCAGGTCGACGCTGCCCAACACCTGGTAAGACGCGTGCGCTGCGCCTCTCACTCAGCCAGCACTGATGGGAGGGGGCGCAGGGACTGTCGCTGACGGCCTTCAAGACCGTGTGCAGGAAGGTGGGCGTGTGCAGGTGGCCGCACTCGGAGAGGGAGAGGCTGTCGCTTCTGGAGGAGGAGGGGCTGCTGGATGACCCCGAGCTGTGCTCGCTGCGCTCTGTCGCACGCGCCTCGTCGAGCAAGCTGCCAGAAGTCCTGGAGGACGCGAGCCAGGAGGAGGGAGCCTGCGGGGATAAGACCCGGCCGCTCGTACAGGAGAGCAGGTACGAGGCTCCGTCGCTGTTGGAGGAGGCCATGGCGCACGTCGAGGCAGGCCTGTACCAGGGGTTATCTCATCGGGGATAGGAAGAGAAGGCTGCTGGCGGGGAAAGGGAAGAGAGGACGAGGGCTGGGCTGGGCTGGACCATGACGATGACGAGACATAGAGGAAGAGGGGGCGAGGAGATGCTGGATGAGATAGCGAGTAATAAACCGATCACAATCAAGCTAATCCATCATCATGCTACATGTTGACGTCGAGCCCCCCGGCCCCTGTCAGACTGGCGTCCATGCCTGACACCGGCCTAGGCTCAGGCTCAGCCCGCCAGAACCTCATCGACCATGCCGGGACGCGCTCGCTCCGAACTTTCCAGTGACCGTGGGCCGAGGCTAACTGTGACCTGACTCCAGGCCCCGGGGCCGGGTCGCGTACTCAGTGGCCGGGCCGGCGGTGGCGAGCCGGGCGTACCGGGTAAACCGTCTCTGAGATCTCTGAGTCTATTTCACAAGGAGTCCTTCCGTAGGTTCATCAATGTTACGGCCAGGCCGGTAAGAGACTCTGGCGTTTTCGGCCACTACGGGGGTTTCTCAGGGGGACCCCTTTTCGATGGCTCTCTTTGCGCACACCACCTTCCTCTCCCTGGTCAAAGTCGCAGAGACCTTTCCCGACTGTGTCTTCCCGGCCTATGCGGATAACATGGCCGTAGTTGGAAAGCTCTCAGTTGCCGCACAAGCCACTGCATCGCTGGTTGATACGTTGAAACAAGAGCTCGGATTGGAGATTCGACCCAGAGATTCGCAGATATTCTCCTCGTCCTGGTGCCTTCAATCTAGGCAGCAACTGGCCATCCACGAGCATGTTTCAAGTTTGCAGTAGGTACGGTACCAGGGCTTGCAACAGTTTGCCTTCCCAGGCCAGGGGATCATCCTTGGAGGTATCCCGATAGGGTCTCAGTCCTTTCAGCAAGAGTTTATCACTGCCAAGGTGAATGCCTTCAATGCTGAGTTGACCCAGTTGGAACAATTTCCCATTGCGTTGGGTCTCAAGCAGCTCTTGAAGACGACCCACGTTCCCACCCTCCAATACTTCTTACGTGGAATCTCCCCGGCCTTGACAGCTGCCCAGTGCAAGTGCTTTGACGTCGCGAATCTCCGTCTCCTTGAGAAGGTGTTTCAGTGGCCACAGCAACAGGCACAGGAGCCTGAGTTCATCCGACCTGCAACCTGCCCCTGACACCCCTCCGTCCGACCTTCCGACGGTCAGTTTGCCTACTTCAAACGTCAGTTGCCTTGCGGTGCTGGAGGAGATGGGTTCGATAACTTAGTAACATACTAGGACACGGAGTAGGCAGCGAAAATCGCTACTCCAACCACGGAAGCGACGGCATGCACGACACTGTCATAAGCAGGGGAACTTCGGAACAAGGATCAGGACAAAGAGCAGTAAGAACATTACTTGTCATCTCAGCTCTACCCCTACCTTCCTCTACCTACCCACCCCTCCTCCCCTCCTCCGAGCGGGCACGTGTCCCGGAAGCCGGCAGACCTCAGTCAAACTTCCGTTTCTCACCTTTTTGCTTCTCCCCGGGCCGGGCCATGGCTCTACTAGGCTATCAGAGCTCATAGGACAGCGAGCTCAACTCAGAGGCTGATTACCCTCCAGGCGTGGACAGCACACAGGGATTAGTAGCCTCAACCTGTATCAAGAAGAAAGAGCTAAAGGCACTAAACCGGCAATACTGAACTCGAGTAGGCTCTTCTGAGTCTTGCATACCGAGTCCCCGCCCATCCAAGATCGTCGATTTCCTATGTCTTGACTTAGGCTCAAGGCACCTACCTCCTCCCTCATCTCCCTGAGCTTCGCCTCCTGAAGAGACATTTTCACCCTCACCTTCTCTGCTATCTGGGTTCGTACACCCCGCCCCATGACCCATCCTCTTGTCGACCCCGACAGTCTCTGCTCAGCCCCAGCCCATGCGACCAACGCCCATGCAGCCTCTCCTCCCTCCTCCCTCCTCCCTCCGTCGGTCCTCAGCGTCTCTTCTCCCTCCTCCCTCCGTCGGTCCTCAGCGTCTCTTCTCCCTCCTCCCTCCGTCGGTCCTCAGCGTCTCTCCTCCCTCCGTCGGTCGGAGCTTCGCACGTCAAAGACCTTGTGAGCCAAGGCATCGCCTCCGAGCGATCGGATGCGTTAGATGCTGTACGAGTTGTTGCTTGCAAGGCTGCTCAGTGCCTCCATGAGGCTGTCCAGCAACCAGGTGCTGTGCTGATGCCTTTGAATCGCGCTGACGATGGCATCGAGCGCTCCCGCCTCTCGCACCCGCACCTGGCTGTCAGCTATGCCGCTGACGATGCTGTGCAGCTCGTCGCATGCTACATTGCGCTGACGACGGCCTGGATCGCTCCCGCTTGTGTAGCCCAGAGCCTGCTCTGCTCGTCGTTCTCGGCTATCTTAGACAGCAACTTGCATAAACACTCCTGTATGTGCGCGTTGCTCTGGTGCCTGGTCATCGCGCTGACGATGCCTTCGAGCGCTGCTGCATCACTCGCCGTGCCCTGATATCGGAAGTTCTGCATGATGGAGTCGAGGGCCCAGTACGCCCGAAACACTGAAAACGTGCTGTTCGCGTGGGTATCGATGACTTTAAAGACGGCCTGGATCGCTCCCGCTTGTGTAGCCCAGAGCCTGCTCTGCTCGTCGTTCTCGGCTATCTTAGACAGCAACTTGCATAAACACTCCTGTATGTGCGCGTTGCTCTGGTGCCTGGTCATCGCGCTGACGATGCCTTCGAGCGCTGCTGCATCACTCGCCGTGCCCTGATATCGGAAGTTCTGCATGATGGAGTCGAGGGCCCAGTACGCCCGAAACACTGAAAACGTGCTGTTCGCGTGGGTATCGATGACTTTAAAGACGGCCTGGATCGCTCCCGCTTGTGTAGCCCAGAGCCTGCTCTGCTCGTCGTTCTCGGCTATCTTAGACAGCAACTTGCATAAACACTCCTGTATGTGCGCGTTGCTCTGGTGCCTGGTCATCGCGCTGACGATGCCTTCGAGCGCTGCTGCATCACTCGCCGTGCCCTGATATCGGAAGTTCTGCATGATGGAGTCGAGGGCCCAGTACGCCCGAAACACTGAAAACGTGCTGTTCGCGTGGGTATCGATGACTTTAAAGACGGCCTGGATCGCTCCCGCCTCTCGCGCCCGCGCCTGGCTGTCAGCCATGAAGTTTACCAAGTACTCCAGCGTCGCGCACGCAGCCTGCTGTACCCCTGCGTCGTCCGGGTGCCTGGTCATCGCGCGGACGACGGCCTCGATCGCTCCCGCCTCTCGCGCCCGCGCCTGGCTCTCATGGATGAGACTGACTGTATGTCTCAAAGCCCAGCACGCAGCCTGCTGTACCCCTGCGTCGTCCGGGTGCCTGGTCATCGCACGGACGATGGCCTCGATTGCTCCCGCCTCTCGCGCTCGCGCCTGGCTCTCATGGATGAGACTGACTGTAGGTCTCAAAGCCCCGCACGCAGCCTGCTGTACCCCTGCGTCGTCCGGGTGCCTGGTCATCGCACGGACGACGGCCTCGATCGCTCCCGCCTCTCGCGCCCGCGCCTGGCTGTCAGCCATGAAGTTTACCAAGTACTCCAGCGTCGCGCACGCAGCCTGCTGTACCCCTGCGTCGTCCGGGTGCCTGGTCATCGCGCGGATGACGGCCTCGATCGCTCCCGCCTCTCGCGCCCGGACTCGTGCTGGACCCTGGCTGTCACCCGTGAAGCACACCATGAGATCCAGAGCCCTGCACGCAGCCTGCTGTACCCCTGCGTCGTCCGGGTGCCTGGTCATCGCACGGACGACGGCCTCGATCGCTCCCGCCTCTCGCGCTTGCTGCTGGCTCTCCTCGTTTCCGATGACCGCATGCTTGAGGGCCAAGAGCGCAGCCTGCTGTACCCCTGCGTCGTCCGGGTGCCTGGTCATCGCGCGGACGACGGCCTCGATTGCTCCCGCCTCTCTCGCCTTGAGCTTGTAGTCTTCAAAGCTCTGAGCCATCCTGACCAAGGCTTCGCACGCAGCCTGCTGTACCTCCGCGAGTGCCTCGTACGTCGTCATGTCCTGCACTACCGTCTCTATGCTATCTTCAGCTCCCGTCGTTCTCAGCTGCCCCCATGCCTCCCTTGCCGGCTCCCGGTCCTGCATCCCACGTCCGTCTTGTGCCTCTACCGCTGCTGACGCCCCGACCCGTAGCCTCTTTGCTCCCGTGCTCAGCGAGCTACGGACGTCACTCGCCATGCCTTCCAAGGCATCGCATGCTGACTCTTGTAGCCCCGCAAGCTCTCGGTACTTGCGCTTGCTGACTCTCGTCGCCACCGCTTCGATCCCTCCGCCCGCTGCCTCTCCGATCCTTCTCCACGCAGCTTCTGCCATACGGCATAAGCCCCGGCATAGCGACTGGCTGCCGCTCCGTGCATCCTGCAGCCCAGGCTTCCTGCCTGACGATCTCCATGCTGCCCTCTCACGCCCCTCCGCTCCGGCTCGTCCTAGAGCTACCGCAAGCTCTGCGAACGTCGGGCGATCCTCCTCCCTCGTCGCCCAGCAGCTCTCTACCAGGGCCCATACCTCGTCTGGACATCCTCCGACTATGTCCTCTCGGGCCAGCCTCCCACCCCCGCACACGTACCGGATCACACTATCGTCCGTCATGTTGTAGTAGGGCGTCTTCCCAAAGGTCAGGATCTCCCAGCACGTCACCCCGAAGGCCCACACGTCGCTCTTCTCTGAGCACCGGCCTCTCTGCAAGGACTCCGGGGGCATGTAGCGCACCGGCAGCCCTCGCCCCGCTACCGTAGCGTCAGTGCTGTCCACGAGCTCTACTGCCAGCCCGAAGCCCGCCACCTTCACCGACGTCCTCCGCACGTCCTCGTTGTCGAAGCCCAAGACCAGCACGTGCCTTGCTGCGAGGTCCCGATGGACGACGCGGAGCTCGGCGAGGTGTTCCATACCCTGCACGATCTGCTGCATCATCGCCATCTGGTGCCCTCGCGTCACCTGGCTCCCCATCCTCCCCACCAGAACTTCCCTCAGCGACCCCAGCTCGGCGTACTCGGTCAGCAGCAGGCGGCAGCCGTCGGCGTCCTTGCTCTGCCCCATGTACCGTACAAGCCGAGGATGCCGCCTTAGCCTCAGCATCACCCCGGCTTCTCTCTCGCCATCACCTTGCCTGAGCTTGAGCACCGCGACCTTGATCCTCTCCGGCTCCGCTCCTGGCCCTCGCAAGCTGAGGTGACCTATGTAGAGGTTCTTGAAGGAACCTGCTGTGATTGGCTGCTGGTCGATTTCGACGTCGTGTCTGGGGACGAGCAGCGCGTGTCGCTCCTGCCACTCCTGGATGGCGCTGCGGAGAGCGAAGTTGGGGACAAGGTGGTTGGAGGGGAGGCAGGCGCCAGTGAGGGGGCTGGAGAGACGGAGCTGGAGCCAAGACTCGATGGAGGATCTCTCATAGGTGAAGCCATCGCAAGAGGAGACAGGGTCCGTCATGAGCGCCAGGCTGATGGGGCAGAAGAAGGACGCGAGTGGTTGCAGCTCCGCTGCCATGGCGGGGACGAGGGAGGGGAAGGGAGCGAGAGGAGAGGGGTTTGGGTTGAGTCTAGACAGTGGTAGGGGGTGATACGAGGAGGGGAGGGGAGGTACAGGGGGTGGTGGATAAAAAGAAAAGCAAATCCTACCAGAGGCTGTAAAGCTCGAAAAAACAAGATCTTGATAAAAACAACACAAAAAAGAAAGCAGTGGAGGTGGCAGAGGCGACGCGTGCAAAGGTGAGAAGGGGGGATGATGATAAAGACGAAGATGGAGGCTGGGGGGTGTAGCACTTATGATTGTCCTACAAGCACCCATGATTGTCCTGTAAGAGGAGTCCATGCCCCCGTTGTAGCCGTTGAAGCAGACGTCCCACACCCGCATGTTGTTCACCAAGTCCTCGTTGCGTCTCGTGATGCGGTTGTAGAGTCGGACCATTCGGGGGTCTACCCTGTCATCCAAAACGATCATCCTTGCAACATCGTTCTCAGTGAGATGGTTCATGTTGTTTGCGTTGTTCCCACTGTGGTGAAGGAGGAGAGCACGGAGTTCACGTAGGCCGAGTTCAACGGGGCCTTGAGGCTGTACTTGTTGATGTCCGAGCCGTTGATGACGCTGTTGATGTCGTCCATGTTGACCATGGAGTTGACGGGGAAGGGGTCGCACCTGAACTCCGTGCCCAGGATTGTGTTTTCATCCAGCTTCACGCCGTTCCGAGAATTCTGCAGGACAGTCCCCATCGCCTCGTCCAGGTGGTGTAGAGGGCCTGCTTGAAGGCCGGCAGCAGCGGGACTTGGAGGTACAGGGTCTTCATCTCCCTGGAGGAGCTCTCCACGTAGTTGAGGACCTCGTTCATGTACTGGAGGACCGTCTCATTGATGGCCTTGGCGTTGTTGTTGCCCAGAATCGCGTTGCCCCCCTGCTTGATGGAGGCGTCTGGGTGGGAGTAGGACATTTAGCTCACCCTCACGGTGCTGCAGAGCGGGTTCTCCAGCCCGTCCAGTGCCTTCAGGAACTCGATCTGCATGTCTGAGGGGACGTCCAGCGACTGAAGGATGGCGTTGCAGAGCCTTGGGCTGTACAGGGACCTCGACATGACGGTCTGGATGAAGCTGTGTGCGTTCAACTAAACGTCATGTGGCGGGGGAGGTTGAGGGTGTTACCGAATTCATGAGGACGGAACCGAGAATGTGCCTTGCCATCGTGTTCTTGGACATGTTGATCAGCCCCATGTTCTGGGAGGCCTGCATGGACTCGTAGCACTGCCTAGGCCTGCATCGAGTCATAGACCACCGTCACGTTCGAGCGGAAGTCCCCGTTTGGTGGGTAGACGAAGTCGGGCAATGGGCGGATTCTCTGACCCTCATTCCTGACACGGAGGGAGTCGGTATCCATACGTCGGCACGGCCAGGTTGATGCGTTTATGTCCCAAAAGTCCGGGACATCGTTTTGTTGCAAGACCTCCAGCATAGACATCTTGAAGAGCTCGGAGAAGGTGAGCGTGAAGAAGCTGTCCTTGACTGGTCGTAGAACTTTACTTGTTGTTTCAGATGTCCCTGATGAAGCCATTGATGCGGTGTGCTCCGCGACCCTGGATGTCCTCCTCAGGATGTCCCTTGGCGGCTCAACGTTCTGCATGCTGAACTACTTGCTGTGGATGATGCTCAGGCCGTGGGAGGAGGGGAGGTCAGGTCCGTGTCTCAAAGTCCTGCATGATTCCGTACGTGTCCACGTACTGGCGGATGAGCTGGAGCATCGTGTTGTTGTGGTGGCTGTACACATCTCTGCGGCTTACCAGGTGTCGGGCAGCGTCGACCTGGCGGAGGTGGAGGAGAGTGAAGACTTGACGGGCAGAGACGACGAGGTGGGAGCATCGTCGATGAGGACCTTGGGAGGTCTTGCGGGGGAAGACGTGAGCGACGCGAGGCTGGAATATGCCGGAGGCGGACATCATGGAGGTTGAGCAAATATCAGATGCAAGCTGTTGGTGTAGGAGAAGGCGATGGAAAGAGAAGTCAAGAGGAGGATGATGTTGCGAAGGAAGTCAAGAGGAGGCTGGATGACGTTGCTGAGGAAGTCAAGAGGAGGATGATGTTGCTGAGGAAGTCAAGAGGAGGAGGATCCAGCACCAGCGAAGGCTTGGCCCGGCAGGAATAGTCGCAGTCAGGCTTTCTCTTGCCTCCTCGATCCAACTTCGGCAGGCTCTCCTGATTGTCCTCGTATTGACTCAAGTTCAACCTAACTTTGAGGAAAGAAGATTTCAGTGTCGTGGGAAGTCTTGGATCCGATGATCGCCGCCGGCCGGGCCAGGACACCGGGCCCCGGGCCGGGAGCCTCGGAGTGACCGTCGGACCTAATGTGAGGCTCAAAATACATCCTGCCATGGCAGCTGCGATATCGCGGGGGGTCTTGCTGCTCGCGCATGTCTATGCCGCGACAGCGACGCTTCCTGCTGGCTGGAACACCTCTCACTGCGGTCAAAAGTAAGTATGAGAGGATGCCAGTCCATGATGTAGTGAAGTTTGGAAGCAACAACAAGATTGCCAGACAATGTACCTCAAAGGGACATACCAAGATTGAATGATGATGATGTGTGTGCTTAGATCCTGCATCTCGATCATCAATCAACCTTTAGCATCCACATCTAAGTGTTCTATTTTCAGGTTTCGGCTGATCACGAACCAGATTTCACCGTTTGTTAATGTTGACCCGTCGAAATGTCAAAATCAGTGAGCAGAGCTTTATTAGCATCCTCTGCTGCATCTCCTGAGCATGTTGTTTTGACTGCAGAAAGTGCCCGGCTGCAGCCTTCAAGGCAGGGGAGGAAGGCTTCACGTATGAGCTAGTCACTACCTATTTGAAACAGCACCTGGAGGCAATGTGCAAGGTTTGCGCGAGGGGGCCAGGGTCTTTGTGAGATAGACTGCTTGCAGGACGCAAAAGAAAAAACTGTCACGTTTGAGTGGTACTTGCCTCCTAGTAATTCTAATCTGGAATCTGCCACCAACTCCTTCAACATCCTTTGCAATGGCGATTTTACCAACACAAAGCTGAGTTCGACAACATCGGTACACGCCTATATTTCCCTCTCTCACTCACGCAAAGCTTCGTTTTGTTCTCAGGCATGCCCAGCTCTCGCCACATACAACGGAACCAGTCCAAACACAGCAAATGTTTGTAACGGAGTGGGTGATAGCACCTGTACAAGCGCTGGGCCTGATGCGGTAATGGCCTGGTATTCTACCACTTCAAATTCGGTCATTGCTTCCTGCAGATTGTTGGAGCTGTTCACATTACCCGAGCTCGGTTGGATCTGATGGCCTTTACAATCCCGTAGGCGTGCATGCTGCTCAGTCATGGTCTGAACTCTCTACAGCTACCTTACTGTGCGTCAAATCGTGGTTCGTCGATCATATTTTCGCTGGCCGGATATCATGAATGTAAGGCCCATTCCAGTCCTCGTTGAGACAAGGGTCTGAGAGTGCTTGCAGACATTTAAAGCCTTTTCTTTGGACCTGTGGATGGCTATTCTAGCTGAGATCTTTCTAGTGATGGTCCTCATTCTGCTGGTCGAGGTGATTGTGATGCAATCACCTGTAGCTAATGTTTGCTCCATTGATATTATTTTATGCTTTCAGACTTGGAAGAACCCTGCAATCGAGAAGTCCTTCAACATTCTTACTCCGATCTATGACTCATTGTATCACTCCTCTTTTATGCTCATGTTATTTTTCTGAACTTCCTCCTAGTTTCTGGGCATTCGGGAGTGCTCTTTGTCCAGGAGGTCAAGGCAAAGCAGCTTGCACAGCAGGGGGAAAGGTGATTGTCGACTTTGCTGAGATCTTGCAATGATGCTCACTGCTCGTTCAGATCTTTATACAAGCCCATCTTACCTTCCTCGTCATCATGGCTGCAACCTATACAGGAACTTTGGGACCTTTTCTGGTTTCGTCGCTTCCTGTCACGGTAGCAGGAGTGTAGTGCCGATGGTTCAAAGAGGCTGAGAAAAGTCTCGTGATCTTCAGGTCTCTGACATCAGCAGCTTGAGTTCGGGTCAATTCAGTGTCGTCGTGAGGGGGCCAAGTTGGAACTCAACGGTTGTCCTTCTTCCAAGGATTTTCAGAGTTTGTATTCACACTTGTGTTTAGAATACCAAATACTTGGGGGCTTACCTGGGGGGTGATAGCACTCCAACCACACCCGAGAGTGTGCAGGTGAATTATTCTTGCATGCCTCTTCGAAGTTATGATCGAGATACCTCAGTTCAAGTACATGGAAGCTGAAATGCAGAACGACAACTCCAAGAAATTCCAAATATGGACGACAGAGCTGATGCACTCGTATGATAGCAATATTGTTGACTTGTGTTGTGACTTGGCGTGAAGGTACAACAACAACGGGCAGATGCAGGAGAAGAACAGAACATTCGATCCTTGTGACTTTATTCTCTCATAAATGAGAAATCTGAATTGACTATCAGGCACCGCCACGAATTTACAACTTGGAGCTTACGACATGCTTGACTGCTCGGGAAGTTCGGATGCTGTGTACAAGCCTGATTCCCTTATCTTCGATGCCCCCTTGGTGTTCCTTAAGTATGCAAGGGACCTCGTTCTTACGTGTGGTATCTTTCTTGTCATATGCAGGTCTACTATGAGCTCGCGAGGAGATACAACAGTGAGAGTTTGCAGTCCCGAGTTGCGCTGCTGAGGTGCTTGACCTTGTCAGATACCGGCACTTGTTCGCTCAAGACCATCGGCAACGAATTCTTCTCCTCCAACTTCGGCATCGGGTTTCTCAAAGACACGACATACGCGCGAGCATTTTCGATGGCCATTCAAGTCGCCATCGACAACGGAGACATCACTAGGCACTCGTGAAGTTTCAGGAGACGTTGAAGTGACAAGAGCTGTCGCAGGCTTAGCAGGAAGTACAGGATTCGAGCACAAGATAACCCTTGTGTTGCCTTCTCGAACCCTCAGGTCACATGCTGGTCAGTGAGGTCACGATGGTGAGCTGACTCGCTCTGTCAGCTTGAGATCACCAAGGACATGGTCGCCGGCGTCTTCATCTTCACTGTCGCTGGGATCTTCATCGCCTTGATTCTCGGGGTTACTTTACCACTCATCCTGAGAGCTGCTGACTGCTCGCAGATCCTTCAAGGCATGGCGTCAGGTCGCTTCAAGCTTCTCTTCCAGGCCATGTTTACATGTAAAGAGATTCCTTTGGAGGGAGAGGAAGAAGAAGAGGAAGTGGAAGAGGAGGGGGAAGAACAAGGTAACCACATGCCATTCATGGACTTTGTTGGGTCTGCTGATCCTTTGCCCTCCTATAGGCATGGACGAGGAATTGAAACGGCAAGGGCACGACGACAACATGGAGGAAGCAGCCGGCGACGACAAGAAGCGAGAAGACAGCGTCGAAGAGTCGATGAAGATCAAGCCATCTGTTCGTCTGGGACATGTGACATTGCTTCTTGCATGATACCTGTTCTGATGCTTTGATGCAGCTCTGCCTGAAAAGTAAGAACATCGAAGAAACGTTGTCGATGAGAAAATAAAACTGCCGCCGTTTGTTACTGGATGATCACTTCAAGCCGAAAAGGGAGGTAATAGAGCAAGACTGTTAATGGGATTATGGAGGAGGGAGGATGGAAGAGGGAGGAGGGAGGAGGGAGGAGAAAGGGCGGGAAGGAGGGGAGGGCGGGCGGGAAGGAGGGAGGGAGGGAGCGGAGCGGAGGGCGGGCGGGCGGGAGGGAGGGAGGTAGGAGGGCGGGCGGGAAGGAGGGTCATCTAAAGGAATTCCTACCACTGGAAATCTAGATCTGGGGCAGGCCCGTACAGGACCGTTTGACGGGGAGGGGAGGGGGGAGAGGAGAGGGAGGCAGAGATGCGGAGGGCTGAGAAGCAGGCAAGAGGAGGAGCAAACGAGGTAGAGAGCAAGGCAAGAAAGGAGGGAGCGAGGCCGTGGAGGATGATGAAGCTGAGATAAAACTTCGCCGTGTCCTTCGTGCTGAACTTTCACGAGCAGGATGTCCAACGTGGGAGTTGACATGCTGCCGGAGAACATGCAGCACCGATGGTCAGAACTTTTGTCGTGTGCTTGTGCTTGTGCTTGTGCTTGTGCTTGTGCTTGTGCTTGTGCTTGTGCTTGTGCTTGTGCTTGTGCTTGTGCTTGTGCTTGTGCTTGTGCTTGTGCTTGTGCTTGTGCTTGTGCTTGTGCTTGTGCTTGTGCTTGTGCTTGTGCTTGTGCTTGTGCTTGTGCTTGTGCTTGTGCTTGTGCTTGTGCTTGTGCTTGTGCTTCTTTTTCTTTTCTTCTTTTGCTGCTGCTGCTGAGTCGTGCATCAGCTCGTTGTCTGTTGATTATCCCGACAAGGAGTTCGCTGAGATGGTCAGCCAAGGTGATGGCGATAACAAAGTCTTCAGTGCGTTGACTGCTCGCAGCTCTTGCGGTAGACGAGGAGCTCCATCAGGACAAGGTTGCCAGGCAAGTGTCGTCAGACGGCAAGACCCTCATGTGCGACCTCGTGTCTTGTCTCTGCCTTGTGCCCTGATTGTGCTTCTCAGCGCTCAGTTTGCAGCTTGTGATGCCCGCATGCTGCGCGTCTCAGTCAACTCTTTCTTTGAAGCTCTTGCGCTCGCGACTAGAACCCTCGACGCCTTCTGAGACCCGATGGGAGGAGGAAGGAGTCAAGCTACCTCGTGAACAATGGCCAGATCATGGCTAGGTGCTGAAGTAGGCAAAAGAAGAGGAAATTTAAAGACAGAGGACGTTGACGTAAAGGGAAAGTTTGCAATGGTTGAGCTTGATGGGATTTACACAGTCGCTTATGTTTATTTTGCATCTGCTCTGCATGATGAGCGGCTGTTCGATGGAAAACAATGAAATACAAGATGTAAAACGTTGAAATTCTGAGGCTGACAGGACAGAATCACTCGTGAACTTGTTTTCCGGTCAAACTGCATCCAGTAACATCAGCTCACTTGACAAGTGTGGAGGAGGAAACTTGATCGAAGGGAAAAAGTGGCAGAGGAGAAGAATGCTGCGAGACTGACAATAATCTGAAGGATGAAGGATATCGCAGGAAAAGGGTTTACTCGGAGGGAAAGGACCGGAGAAAAAGATCATTAGAACGGGAGACAAACTGCAGCGGTGGAGGAGCAAGTCGAGGAACTGAGTGGATGAGAATTGGATGGTTGCGAAGCGGCCTTCCAGGCTTGAAGTTCCAGGCTTGAAGGAGATGGACTGATTCCTCGGAGCTGAGGAAAGACTCGTGACGAGGAGGGGAGGGGAGAGCTTGAGGAGGGGAGAAGAATGAGAGGCAGATGGATAGAGAAAGTCAGTCGACGGACTCGACTCGATTTCGTTTGTAAGCGTGTTAAAATAATGTTTTAAATGATTCAGAGCATCTCTTTTCGAACAATATTACAAGGATATAAAGACAGCGATGCTGGACGTACAAGGGAGGACCTTGGAGGGGGACCAGACCAGGGGGTAAGGGAGGGAGCGCAAGGGGCGGAGGGTACTAGGTTAGAGACCACAGGCTGTGAACGAGGAGCAAGGTAAGTGATGGAAGAGCTGACTCGTTTGTGAACCTGGAAGCTCATACAGACAACTCTTCGTCTCCTCTTTTCTTCCCGACATGGTAATCTCAAACGCCACTCTCTCTCTTCGAGGTGAAGAGCCCTCGAATCAAATGCGAGCTGAATCCTTTTGCTAAAACAGTAGCGATCATGACTGCTTTCTTGCTCCTCGTGACAAGAATTGGTGCTGCCGACCGTAAACCTGTGATCTTTCATTTAGATATTTAAGTTGACTGTGTGAAATTGACAGAGTTAATCCAAGACATTTGGAATTATTTGAAGGAGGTAAGATATCTTACTTGGAATCTCAATGAATGTAGTACAGATGAGCATAGTCAAGAACGAGACTTTTGAGCCCTTGGTCGCTTCCATCGCGTTTGCAGTGTGGGTGGCAATGTTCAGGTTGATCGACAGAAGTCAACAGTGGAGGAAGGTGAAAGGATGTACGGTTATGAGAGAAATGTGAGATTTTGCTCGAAAGTTTAAGATCATCGACGAGGAGATGCGCGAGAGGTACAAGACGTTGTGAGCGAACGCTGCCGCTCATGTGTTTCGCAGCAACTACCTTCCTCCTCCTCATGCAGTCAAATCTCTGTTGGCCTATCTCGTTCCTCTCTTCCTCTTCGACATGTTGTTTCCTCGGCGGTAGAAAAATAATCTCATCTGTAAAAGAGAATAACCCGCAATGCCAGAAAGTTGCCACATGAGGCTCCGAGCACGATTCTGTAAGGATTACTTATGAAATCTCAACTTGTTTGTTAGTCCTTGACAATGTTGTCAGACTCCTTTCGCAAGTTTTCCTTGGAATTTTTGTCTATGACTTTCTCTTCTTTTGGATTCATCTTTCCATGCATAAGGTGGAAGAAGGCTCAGATTATGCTCATAGGTTGCTCACCTGATATTCTGACGTGGGTAGTTGAAATATCTTGGATTTCTTGGACATGCTGTACATCACAGTGAGTCTCCTTCTTGTGTTTGACCACACAGTAAGACCACAATGATATGTTCTTGTCTCCGAACATATCGTGTCTGGAGTCAACCGATGTTATGTTTTCCTGTTCTGTGCTTTTCTATGTGTTTTTGCCGTTCTGCCTTTTATATTTTAACTGGAGAAACGAACTCATCAGGGAAACATCCTTTAGAAGCGACTCAAGTTGTCAACCACTCTTTTGCTGATGGTTTCTTGCAAGTAAGAATTCACGAAACTTTGATCAAGATTCATGTGATGGTTGCAATGACATTGTTGTCCTCAGGTGATGACCAACATTATCACCTTGCACCTGGTTCGATCGCACCCCATGGTGACCTCTTGTGATGTCTCTTCGCAATTTTGACAGCAGACAGTCTCGTGCCATCCATAACGTCGTCATCACCTACATGTTGACAGAGTTGCACAGGTTGTCATCACATACACTTTCTCTCCACCTCTTCAGTCTCTGTCCTGTCGTGTGTTGTCTTTACAGTTGTTTCTTCTCCTCTGGGTTGATGTTTCATTTTACCGTCAGCGGTTTTGACATTCCCTGGATGCTTCATCGGCTTGTTCCCTTGGGGATTCTTGGAGGGCCACCAGCTCATGAGAAGTGAGTGGGAGAACACGATCAGAAAGGAGAAGGGGAAGGAATGAGAGCGGAGGATGAGGTGGGGAGGGGAGAGAAGGGGAGGGGAGGGAGCAAGAGCGGACAGGAGAGAGATCAATTGGCAGGAGAGTGCAGAGAATCACGGGAGAGGAAAGGTGTGGAGATTTTCGTTATCAAAAATAGATGAAAGTCTGACACGGAGTATTGAGAGAAAGTTTCAAGTAGAAGGAAGTTCTCTGATTTGATTCGTTTCAGGCATCATGGTAGTGGTAGACAACATTTCCAGCAGTTTTTCACCTACTTGGATCGCGCCTTTGGCTACGTCTGACAAAACTCAACGAGCTGTGATTAGCAGTGAACTGTACAAGTAGCCGACAACAAAACAAGTTATGTAAAGATACGCCAGAGATGAAATGGCAAGAGACAGAGAGCGGTTCATGGTATCAATGCATTCACACTGTTATCTCTCTCTTCCTTCTTCTCCTTGTCGTTCTCTTGCATGATTCGCAATCTCATCGGCAATGTGAAGAGGCGCAGAAGATTTCTTGCCTGCAGCTAGCCATCAGTTTCCTTCTCCTCCTCCTTCCTGCCTTCGCACGCTGACTTTGAGACTTCTCCCTGTTTTCCTCCCATCCCCCCCCCCGCCCCCCCCCCCCGCTCCTCTCATTCCCTCTTCTCCTAGTCTTTCTCTCCTTGTATCCCCCTTCCCTCACCTGTCTCTTTTGCCTTCTCCTCCCATACCGACCGGAACGTCTCGCCCATCTCTAGCAAAGCACCAGCCATCGCTTGCTTCACCTGCTGCGTGTCAGTCTCATCCTTACTCGCCCCACCCTTCATTCCCCTCCCACCTCCTCCCCCACCTCCTCGTCTCGTCCTCCTCCTCACCTTCTTGTCACTGGTGCCAGCGAACGCAACGTCGACCACCTTGCGGATTCGGATGTTGAGCAGGACGAGGCCGATACGCCACATCAGGTCGATGCTCTTTTTGGCGAACTTGTGGATCTGAAGCAAATCAGATAAGCAGGAGGATAGGAAGGAGCAAGAAAGAGAGAGGGTAGCAGAGAGAAGAGAGGGAACACATAACAGAGGAGAGCTGGAAAATGATGAGGACAGAAAACAGGAGAAACGAACAGAGGTAGAGGACTAGGGGGAGGGAGGGAGAGGAAGAATGCCAGAGAGGAGGAGAAAAGCGAGGAGGGAGAGGGAGTGGGATAACGTCTCACCAGCTCTGGATCCACATCAAGACCGATGTCATCCACTTCATCTCCTTCCTCAATCTCTTTCCACTCCTCTCCTCTGACTTCCTCCTCCCCGGAATCCGCCCGCTCTGAGTTGCTCGTTTCGTGAAGTGGCACTTTGTTATCCGTTCTTCCTCCTCCTGCCGCTGCCGCTGCCGCTGCCGCTGCCTCTTCCTTTGCATTGTTCACTTGCTCGTCTCGTCCCGCAGTCATGTTTGAGCACTTCCGTGTTTTCTCTTCGTTGCTCTTCTCGTCAATCGCTGCGCACGCGCCTCCCCCTCCAACCCCCAGTGACTTCCCTGATTTTTTCTCACTCTCGCTGGAGATTTTCCCTGCGATCCTGCTGCATTTGATGAGGCCGTAAAGGATGCTCGTCTGCTCTGAGAGGTCGTTCTTCATGTCTTTGATCCCCTGCATGAACCCGGTGATCCCTCCCCCCAGCTTCCTTGCCTTTCTCCTCCACGCGTTCCCAGTGATCAGCACCAGGTCAGGCCCTCCAGGTGCTTCCAGCAGCGACTTGCACCAGGTCCTGCTGTCCTCTGCGAACTCGGCCTTGGACCTCCTGCCCTTCACTCGCGCCTCGAGGCGGGAGAGGAGCTTCTGGGAGAGCATGCGGCAGTACTCCTGCTCGTCCTGCTTGAGGACCGCAGGCGGCGTCTCCTGCACGGGATTCTTGAGAAGCTCTTCTTCGAGCTTGGAGAGGAGCTGACGCATCTCGGGAAGGGAGCAGAACTCGCCGAAGATTTCGTCGAACTCTCCTCCCCCGAAGAGCATCTGAATCTGAAACTTGATCATCTCCACGTCCATCCCCATCTTCTCCTCTAGCCCCTCTGCTCCGAGCTGGTCGTAGATCTGTCGCTTCCTCGGGTCGCTCAGGATCTGATAAGCTTCACTGATGCGCTTGAACTTGGCGTCTGCCTCCGCGTCCTCCGGGTGCTTGTCGGGGTGCGAGTCTCTTGCCAGCTTGTAGTACGCCACCTTGAGCTCCTTGTCTGTAGCTGTCCTTGACACCCCAAGGATATCGTAGAGGCTCTTGCCGTCGGAGGACGAGGGGATTCTTGGCTTGAGGATGGAGTTGACTGCAAGGGAGAGAGGGTTCACACCCTGCCGCTGCTCTCTCCCCCTCACCACCTTGACGTTTCCTCGCTTCACGCTCAGCTCCTTCCCGCTTCCTTCCAGCACGACGACCAGCCGTTCGTCCTCCACCTCCTCCCTCACGATCCCAAACTTGCCGTTGTACTGAGGTGCCTTTGAGAGCCCTTGTATCATCACCCTGCTACCTGCTCCTGCCTGCCGCTCTGCCTGCGGAGGAAGGCTGCTCCTCGCACAAGTCTCGTCATGCGCTGAGGTCTCTTGCTTTGCGGATTCCTTGGAGGAGGAGAAGGAGGGAAACTTAATTTTCTTGCTGATGGAGCTACCCATCCTCCCGAAGAATCCTTTCTTCGTACTCTCGTTGTTCTCAGACGTGGGCATGTTCTCTTTCGCGTCCACCATCACAAACGATCCATTCCCGTCTTTCTCCCCTGCTCGCTGACTCAGCAAGAGAGAGAGAGAGATGGAAGGGTCGATACCTTCTGCGATGCTTTTCTGCTGCTCCTCTCCTTCCGACATGAGCCACGCCAACCAGACAATGACCTGCTGACAAGGATCAATTAGAATGAAACAACCAGTCACCGTCGCTCGCATTCATATGATCTACAATGAAGAAGCTAAACTCAACCATGCCGTCGCGCCTCTTTCACCGTCCATTTATGCTACTCCATCTCCGCGGTCTGCATCATCACTCTTATCCCTTGATTTGCTTTCCCTCAGCTACACACACGCTCTCTTCCCCTGCTTTGCCCGTCATCGATCCTATTTCTCTTGACATCTACCGACCTGTGTGTTCCCTAGTCTCCCTTCTCATGAAAGGAAGTAGAACGCTTCTCAAATGACGTACAGCCACTTTCTGATCTCTTCTCGCTTCATCTCTTGTGTTGTTCCATCTGCATCATCCTTGTTTTGCATTTGTCCACACCTGATCGAATTTCTCTACCCCACCCCATTAGAAAAATCTCACAAAAGGAGGTTGGGTAGGAATGTTTACCCCCAAATCATCCGAGGTACGAAGGGGTGGGGGTGGAGTGAGAAAGGACGGGTGGGTATACGACAGGAATCTAGGGGGCAGGGGTGGTCGATAAATAAAGGCAAGGCCGCTTCCATGTCCTCAGGGAGTAGATAGGAGGGAGACAAGTGATGGGAGGGAAGATGCAGATAAGCAAGCAAGGGCAGGACTGATATCTCTGCAGTTAGCTCTCTTTCTACTCGTTGCCCTTGGCAGTGTTGCATGTTTTTTGATTCTTTCTCGTACCTCAAACGTTGAATTCTTGACATCTCTCCCTATGCCAGCAGAAGCAACGCGAGTCAAATCTTCGATGAGCGCAAGGTCTTGTATGTTCTCGTCAAGATCTCTGGCTGGGCGAACAGCTTCGCCCTCTTCCCTCCTCCTCCTCTGCCTCCTCTCAGCTCAGCATGTTTCCTCCTTCCTATCGCCGAATCTCGCTGGCTATGACAAGAGAAGAGCAGTGAACTGCAGAATGTGCTCGAGGAGAATGAGTGCAGACAGTGAAGCAATGGAGGGACAAAAATCAACAGCAGGAATAGGCGAGGATACGAAATCGCTGTCTATGCTACAGGCAGGTCCATTGTTTCGTTTGCTTGCGCTGATTGCAAGCTGCAGAAACTTGCGAGTACTCAACCAAAGGAAGCTGTTCGTTTCAATCTGTCCCCCTTAGAGCTTGCCAGACTTTCAGAGCAGGTCCAATACCCTTGTCCCGCCCCCTCTTCTATCCTCTTTTCTTCCTTTTTCTCTTCTCTCCTGTCCTTGACTGGTACACACATTGTACTCTGTTCTCCTTTCCTCCTCTCCTCTTGTCTTTTTACATTTCTGCCAGGCCTCTTTGAACGACAATGAGGAGGCTATCTTCGAGCGAAGGCGCAACATCCTTTTAGCCATCGCGTCTCCTGTTCTTGGTAAATATTTCATCTCCTCTTCCATCTTCGGCTCCCTCCCTCCCTAACAAAAACTGCAAGTCGTGAGATCCCCTTTTCTCACCTCCTCTGTAATCTCACCAGTGCCAACGGCTCTTCTCATGCCTTTTGCCTTCCTTCTCTCATGATGTTTTCCTTGTTTTCCGTTTCTCTGGATCAGTCGCCCTCATAGTCCCACAGGTGCTGGAGCTGCCTGGCTGAAGCGGCAAATTCCAGCAGTGAGTCTTGTGCAGATCGCTTCGTCTTCTGCGTTGATTTGTCTCTTCCCTCGCTCTTTCTCGCGCTCTATCTCTCTTCTTCGCTCTCTTTCTGCCCCATATCTCCCTCTTTCTCTCCACGTCGCTTTCTCTCGCCTACATTTGCTAACTTCCTACGCTCGCTTTTTCTCTTTCTCGATGAAACCATCATTTCAATTTCTTGTCTCGTATCTCACCAACCGTCTCTTTCATTGTTATCTCATCTGTATCTTAAGCGCTCCTCTCAGGATCCCTTGGCTATCCTGCGAAGCATGGAAGCTACCTCCCCGACTCTTGCGGTGACCAACTTGTATCCTCCTGCTAGTTGCTGAGACCTTGCAAGGCTTCCCTGCAGTCAGGCAGACCAACCGTCATCGAGTTCTACGCCAAATGGTGCGGGGACTGCAAGGTAATAGGGGAGGAAGGACAAGAGGACGTGAAGAGATCAGTGACGAAAGTGAGCAGGCAATGGCGAAGACGATGAAGACATTGGAGCAGCAGTATGGGAGCGACAAGGTGAGGAAACGAGAAGAGGATGGAGTTGACAACAACGAAATTGGCATTGTCAGAGTCACAGGCAGACAACGAGATCTTGGCCAATTTCATTGCGTCTGATTTTGATGCTCTGAGCAGATTAACTTTGTTGTTCTTGATGCGGAGAAGGACGCGAACTCACAGTAAGTAGAGGATCTTTTTTCTCCTGCTCTGCAACAGCTCCTATTCGTCCCTCGTTGCTATCCTTCTCCCTCTTTCTTGCCTTACGTCAGCTCTCTGACAGGCTGGTCAATCTCTTCCGCGTGGACGCCATCCCGCATTTTGCGTTCATCTCAGCTGATCGCACTCTTCTCACGACCTTGACAGGTTTAATTCACCCCAGCTCTTCTGCTTTGTCTGTTGCCTCCTTCCTGCTCTTGAGCCTCCTCTCACTTCTTGTCTGCCTATTCGCAGGATTTCTTCCTCCTGGCGTCATGGAGAAGCAGATGGTAGCCTTTAGCCAAGGCGTACAACTGCCGGTGAGAACCAGGAGGCGCGAGGAAGCTGACTGCAAGGAGAAGAGCAGAGAAAAGGAGCGAGGTGGGATGAACAGTGATTGTTTGGCAGTTCTGCGGGCCCGACATGTGCGGGCTGACACCCGAGCAAGCGATGATGCAGAAGGGGAGGCGGTGAATAAACTCATTGTAAGCTCGTCATACTGAAGTCACATGATAACACGGCCAACCAATGATTCTACCGTTCCAGATCGGAATAATAATCGAAGCTAATTAGCAAAACTAACTTTATTAGAGCGCATCAACAACAAGGAGCGCTAAGAGAATTAGGAGCAAACCAAGAGACAAACGTAGAGACAAACGAGAAGAGGAGCAAAATCAGCAGCGGCGCCTGTGGCTGCCAGCATGCACTGACGACTGCTCAACTCACTCATCGTCCATCAAACAAGAAAAGAGTAGATATGATAGATAGATAAAAGGAGCAAACGTAGAAATTGAGAGATCGGTAGAAAAGAGTCTCGACGAGCTGGAAGACCTGCGGGTAGACATCCCATGCATGGCGTGAGGCCAGCGCAAAATGCAGCTTATGCTCTCACGCCGTCTGTAAAGCACGAATGTTAAGGGCAGGAGGACGCTTTGAAGGCGTCCGAACGCAGCTCGACCCTGACTTGTTCGTTTTCTTCAGGACGTGCGAAATCGTCTCTTTAAAGCGAGTAACAGCCGCGACAGCTGCAGCCCTTGTTGGGCGATTCTTGCCGGAAATTTTAGCGAGAGCCACCGCCTTCTCTTTGATTCTGTTCTTGGCAAGTGCGATAGCAAGTTTGACGGGCTTCTGCGCTGGTTTGGCAGTCATGGAGTTCGGTGATGTGGCTTCCGGCAAGCAGTTCTCCATTTGTGGGACTGATTCATCGTCAGACATGACAGCGTCTGAACCTTCTTGAACGTTGAAGCAGCTCTCAATGGATTCATCCAAGGTTTCGTACTGGCCGAGAAACAAGCTTGGGCTCACACATCCCGCAGCAAACTCAGTCATATCCTTCCACTTCGGAGAACAGGTCGTTTCACCATCGTTGGAGCCAAACACGGCGTTTAGACTGTCTTCGTCAAACTGTTCCGTGTCCATGCTGATATCTCCGAGAGCACAACCATCTTCGTACTTTGACATTTGTTCAAGTGACGCACAGTCGGTGATGCAAGCCTCGACTTCTGATTCCCAACACTGTTCGCTCTCCATCTCAATGGAATTCTCAGCTTCATCCGAGCTTGTACCCCACAGGCTCTCGTCAGATGACGATGCCTTGATGTCCTTTGCAATCACGGGGATGCAAGCTCGAATATCTTGCATACATGGTGTGGATGCAAACAGAGCAGACAGCTTTTGCAAGTGTACGACATGCTGCACCAATTCGCTTGGAGTGATCAAGCATCCCCCTTGTTCCATAAAAGAGGAGGTGGGAGAAGAAGGTCGCGAGCCAGCGAGAACACGATTGTTCTCGATATCAAACAGTCCATCGATTCCGCTGCCAGGATTCAACCTTTTGAGCTCGTAGTTTTCTTGCAGCAGCTGCTCCCTTTTGCGGTACAAGGTTGAGTTCCAGTGGTTCTTGATGGCATTGTCCGTGCGTCCAGGAAGCAACTTTGCGATTTCAGTCCAACGGTTGCCAAGCCGTTCTTGCGCAGCAACAATTGCCCTGTCCTCCTCGGGAGTCCACGGTCCACGACGGATGGTTGGATCAAGCTGATTCTTGTATCTCTCTCTGCACTGCTTTCCACTGCGAAATTGCAGATGAGAACCAATGAGCGACCAGTTCTTGGTTCCATGTTGTGCAACCAAACTCATAATGAGCTCATCCTCCTGAAAGAAAGAAAGTGAGAAATGAGACATTACAGAATGTTGTTGTTACCTCTTGTGACCATGGCCGTCGCGATTGGTCACACGAGTCGTCAGCGTTGCCCCCATCTTCCAATTTGATTGATGAGGAGCTGGAGGGCGATTCGGTTGCATATTTGGGTGCCTAAGAAAGAAGTTAGATACCTTGTCTCACACTGAAAGACAAATCATACCAGGTTGAAATTACTCGTTATCATGGCCCAGCAAAGCAAAAGGTGTTGATTTTGAAATCAACTTGAATGCAGAGAGATCAGCAGAAGTGACTGGAGGATTGAACGATTTCTATGGTATTCTGGTGTGAATCAAAGTTCATTTACTTCTCTGACGGACTACGAGCTGCGCGAAGCTGCAAGACAAAGTAGCCTGTCTCCGAGAAGGTAGTATCGTTTGTCCAGGGATTGTCCAATCCCAAGATGAGTGTGATGACGAGATAGAAAGAAGTGGCGAGGAGAGGGGAGGGGGAGGGGGAAGGAGGGAGAGGGAAGGGGGAAGGGGGAAGGGGGGAGGAGGGGAGATAAGAGCAGGATGGAGGGCAAGGGGAATCGGAGGAGGCGGGAAGCGAAGGAGGAAATAAAAAAAGGGGGGCCGGTTTGAGGGAGGGGTGGAGGGGACTGACGGTCATGCACTAGAGGAATTAGTTGGTGGGGTCATCGAAGAGATAGGGTAGGGGTGAACTCTCTGGGAGACCGGTGATAAAATGTGGGTAGGGTCCAGTAACTTGCTTTAGATACCCCTTCATTTACCAGCTTCTGTCGGGTATTCATAGGTAAGTTCACACCGAGATTGAATCGTACGGGTGGTTTGTGAAGGTTGGAATTTCACTGGGGTAGACCAATTGAAAGCAAGAATAAGACAGGGTGGGAAGGTCCCTGTCACATAGGTGGGTCCAATAGTTTCATGGGTGGGTGATCGCTTGAATTGGCTGCAATCATCCGGGTCCTCCATCATGCAAGATCTAGCATTCAGGGGGGTGGGGTTATTCACAATGCCGGTCAAAAATTGGGGATGAGACTGGAGGACGGGTGGTCAGCCTCAAAGGCAATAGGTACGTCGAGATGACCCCCGTAGGGGTAGTTCCGTAGGACAATCAATAAAGAACTTGCGATTAAGAAGGGGTAGGGTTCCCAATACGGTTCTTGATAGAGAGGGGCTGGAGACATAGGCTTCTCGTAATAGAGAAGAAATAGGAAAAGAGGATACATGTATCCCCAACACTCAAGCTTGACATGTCCTTGCGCCTGTCTGTGCCTTAAGGTAGGGTCATCATCGCCAACAAGTTTATACAATTCTCAGAATAGATTTCAGGTAAAAAGATGGGTAGGGATCACATTGCAGTGAGGGGTAGGTAGTCAGGCTTTGACCTAAATCTCTATTGATGACCCGTGTAGAAAACTGTCATTGTCGGGGTACTTCTTCCTGTCATCCTCCTCACCCCCACCTACCCACCCACAGGCTGTGTTAAAACTTTGTAGTTTTCATAGGAGAGGGGGTGGGGGTGGAGAGCAAGGGGTTCCCAGTGGATGTGTACCCTACCCCCTCCTGGAGGAAAGTAAAGAAGCTTCACCCCTCCCCCTTGGTACTGCTTGCCCTCTGACTTCTTCGGGATTTCCTTGTGGTGTTCGTACCCACCACCACCCTTTCAACTACCACCCTTCGTTAGTCAATCACTCTAAAAATATTTTCGTAAATGCAATGAAGAGAATGGGAGGGGGTCAAGCTTGTGGGGGCGGGGAGGAAGGGGTCTCGAGAACATCTACGTTGGGATAAGGTCAGGTCTTGAAAACCTTAATGGTATATTATTAATTTATTGGCAACCTCTGGTGTGAAGAGTCCGAAGTCATCATATCTCGTTCTTATCGCCGTTAGATCCTTCTACTGCGTTCAGAGGCCCTCGATGATATAAAATTACTTTTATACATACATATATATTTAATAGAACATCATTTGTTTTTCAAAGCTTGCTGTAGCGACTGGCCCTCAGTGCCACCGTGCCACCGGCACTCAAGCCGGCCACTGCTCAGCGGCCGCGCCGAGTCTCGGGCCCGTGGCACTCAGTGAAAACAGGCGGCCGCAGTGAGTCCGGGACCGTGAGTCACTCCGACTCCGACCAGTCACGGTCGAGCCCCAGCAGTTGTGTGCCCTAGGCTTTCGGATTATTCAATGCAACTTATGGCAATTCAGTGTTGGTCAACAGTACGGTCAGTTCAAGTAGGCTCCACAGGCGACCGAACGTTGACTGCCGCAGTCCGATCACTGCTCCCGAGTCAGGAGTCCGCACACTGGCCACAGTGGGCCCGGGCACTGCCGAAGGACAGCCAGTCATGTGGCCTACTGCGGTCCCGAAAGTGGTCCGGTCTTGACGTCGCTAAGTGATGGACCGTGATGCCCCCCACCGGTGCTTGTCAATCCTGGGAGTCCATTGGCTCAGTTATGTCAATCTCTTCCTTCGAGTTCTGCGCCTTCATATCATCTTCAGCTTCAGCATCATTGACGTCCTCGTCCCCGTTGTCCTCGTCTTCGTCGTCATTCTCGTCATCGTCCTCCTCGTCCTCATCTCCATCGTCATCTTCGTCGTCGTCCTCCTCGTCCTCTTCCATATACTCGTCGTCGTAGTCATCTCCAACGAATTCATGCTGAAATTCTTCACGATGAATAAACCAGTGACGCGCTAAAGGATGAAGCTGATATCATCAGTCAGAAAGAATGCCCTTTGTGGAGAAGGATTACCTTGAGGAAAAGATCTCTCTCACTTTCGATGGGGTCGTCTTGCCAATCCTGATCTTCCTCGCTTGACCGTTTGGCGTCGCTGAAGACATAGTCTTCATCATTAAGTCCCCCAAATCGGAGAACGTGACAGTCGCCAAGCTCCTCCTTCCTCCACCCTCCCAACAAGAAGACCTCAGAGCCTCCTTCTACAGGCAGCATGATAGCATTCTGACGCGGGCAAGGTGCTTCGCCCATGACTTGGAGTTGCTTCCAAGTGAACTTGAGGGTGTCAAGAGCAACCACCTTGTCGTTGAGACGAGATGACCGTCCTCCTCCAAAACACAGGATCTGATGCCCCAAGCTCACTGCGCTATGACACCGCGACACGCAATTGTCTGGAATTGTTCCTGCTATCTGAGGCTGCGACCAGGTTGGAACATCGCCAGCCAGGTCGAGCACAAACACATCACGAAGCTCTTCTCCGTCTGTGCCGTAGCCTTTGTGATTGTGCCCTCCGGTACAGCCTCCGATTATGATGAGCCTCGAGTTGTCTGGACCGCAGAGAGTAGCAGAGTGACCAAAGCGAGCGCAAGGAGGCGCCCCAAGCGCTGCAACTTCATTCCAATTCCAGCTGTGAGGATACGAAGCAGTCATCTCATCCTCCGAGAGCTCCAGCTCAGCACTTTCCAGGTTGTCTAGAGGAATCCCTTCAGCAAAGCCGCCGAAGACGAGGATCTGTCTCTTGTTTGTTTTCCTGTTGTGAAAGTACGTGGCGGTATGATAAGCGCGAGGAGTTCCCAAGGATGCGAAAGAGGAGGCTTGCTTGGGTTTAACCCATCTAAGCATCCAGTCACTTATTGTTGTTCTTCACACTATGCTAACCTCATTCTTGGGACTTCAGTCAAACATGCAGAAGACGAGCTGGGTACCTGCAAACTTTCACCCACCCAAAGAAAACGAAGATTGCTTTACCTGTATCGTACCAGACACACACGAGTCATCGATCTCTTCACACGGCAAAAGCAGGTGTAGATTGCTAACTGCTCCTTGGTATCCTCCAGCATAAACGCCTCCATATAACGCGAATGCAAATTCTGACAAGAATCATTGATGAAAAGAGCGAAAACCAGGTGTGAATACCATGATTGGGATGTTCAAAAGCTGTGATGGTCGAACCATAAGTTGGCAGAGGGTTGTTCGAGGTCTTCACGGGAATCCACATCAGTCTCTTCTTGCAGTCCTGAATTACAAAAGGATCACCAGAATATGGCAAGGCGGTTTACACAACCTCAGAGCACACTAGCATTGTTACGTCATTCTCAATGCTGTTATATTTCGTCCAACCTCTAGAGAAGCGTTAACACAATGTGGGAGAACGATTTCTGAACCCGAAGACAACGACTGCACTTGCACCCTTGAAGGTGAACGACGCCCCTGCCGCTCCTTGCCTCTGCAGCCTCACGCTATCAAGTGTCAATAGAGCAGAGAATGAGAAAACTTAGAGCACATTGAGGTTCTAGATCGGCTGTTTTGGGGAGCTATCTGTAAACCAGCTAGGTATGAGAGACAAGTATTTCAGATCGCATTGTCATACTCGCTTCCATTCTGGATGAATCAGACTCCTCGACACAAGTTTGCGGAGATACAAATCGCGGATCCTGACAATAGTTGAGAACTCTCCGTAGAGCAACAGCATCACCTTGGCTTGCCCTCTATTGGAGTTGATACTAAGGGTTCAAAACTTTGTATATCGCGTTCGTATAATGACCTAATGTCCATGCTTTATCGTGTGATGGAACCACCAACCTCCGCTTTACCGCCAAAGACCCTCATTATCTTCATGCTTCCATATGATTTCGTGCCACCTTCGTCATCGCATCAGCTCTCTGCTGTGGAACAGCCAAACCATCGATCACACCGCTTGCAAACCTTAGAGGCCAACAAGAACTTGGAACCAGGGAGATACGACAGCAACGATGCTATCATCATGTCGTCCATGTCATGTAGCATGTTGGACACCGTTGTAGAACTCATTGCTGTCCTGCTCCAATCAACTTAACTTATCACATTGAAACGAGAATATGCAGGAGATTGATCCATCCGCTTCCTTCAATTCGCCGCGTGCTATCTCTTACACATACCTGAGCATCTCCTTGTACCTTTGCAACATCGTGCTCACATCAATATCAATCTCTACCCACTTCTCTTGACCCACGGCACGAAGGAAATGACCACCACATCATTTTATCACCATCGATCAGATTCAACTACATACTCTTCATAGGTCATTTTGTTTTGATCGTCTCCTACACAACTTCATTCCCCGCCCCCTCCCCCTTTCCTTTCCCCCTTCATTTCTTGTCCCCCCATCCTCCGTGCTCAACTTCAAGCTGTTCATCGCTGACTGTATTTCACACCCTTGTAATCCCCTTTGTTCCTGCCTTTGCTCCCCGCTCCAAGCGCCTTTGCTCCCCGCTCCCCGCACCTTGATTTCGCTTCATCGCCTTATTCTCGTCCATGTCACCCTTTTCTGCATTCCTATCTCATCATCTCGCTCTCCTACGTGCACCACTGCAGCTTCCCTGCTGTTTCTTGTCTTTGTTGGCTTCATCTTTGTTCCCTGAAAGGATGCTTTCTTTTCTGCGCACCCACCGTCGCCAAGAACTACCCCTACCCAGTCAAATGATCACAACAGTACCCCTAATTTACCATTCAGATCACCCCACCCCCTGTCTCACTTGCACCATCTTCTGCGGCCTAAGCCTCCGCAAAACGGTTACGTCAATCTTGTACACATGTAACGGCGATGAGTTCAAGGTTGTTCCTGTGGATGCCGCATGGATCGAGGCCTGCCTGTTGTGCTCGGGGCCCTGCTGGGAGCGGCGCTGCTGCCGTCGCTGATGCATGTCCCTGCATCCAAACAGGCGTCGTCCTCGTCTCAGCTGGCTCCTCCCAGACGCTCTCTCCCCCCTAGAGGCGCCAGTGCGAGTCTCTTGCGGGCAAGCATAGGAACGCAGGGAGGATACAACGCAAGCTCTGCTGTACAAGAGAAGAAAAGGGGATGTGTCCCGAAAAAAGAATTAGCGTATGATCGCTGTTTTTGCACATTTCCAGCAGATGAGCCACACAAGCGACGATCAAACCGAGGTTTGTTTACACCTCATCGTGATATGGATATTGACATGTTACTATCTTTTTTCTACCCACTACTTCTCCGTCATGAACAGGATGGGAACAATTCCACCAAACCCTATGTCGGGACGCAAGAAAAGCTGCAGGCATCGATGTTGTGTGGTATGGAGACTCTATCACAGAGGTGTGTGGAGTAGAGAGCTCCAACTGACCCGCTCCAACTGACCTGAGGCCAGGCTTGGAGGGGCACCAGTATCGGAATGGTTTCGGATAGGGCAGAGGTTCCTTTGTTAACTTGCTGATTTGAGTCTAATTGCAACACTGACTTGTTTGTATTACCCTTTCATTCTCCATGTATTCTTTCCGGTCACACCTCCCTCTTGTCTATGTGTGCACCTAATAGGGAGTTCCTCGTGTATGGAACTCCTTGTTCGTCGCAAAGGTCCAGTCCTCTCTCACATTTGGATACCTCCATCTCCTGACGAATGGATTTGCTTTAGGGGAACACCACAAAGACTTCCTACTTGGCGCTTGGAATTTCAGGAGATCAAACGCAACATCTTCTCGGGAGGCTTGAAGTAGGAATCAAGGAAAGATTGAGATCATTCTGAAGAGATGAGCAGAGCTGTGAGCTTCAGCATGCCCCGGAACTACAGCCTAAGATCATCATCCTGGCTATCGGTGCTCATCTTCCTCCTTGAGAATGCCAGGGATTAATCCCGATCAAGGAACAAACAATCTCGGTGCCGGATGCACGTCACATGAAACCAACCTTGGTGGCTATTCCAGATTCACCACTCTTGAATATTTTTACACTTTGACTAGGAGTGCAAAAGGTAGTCAAAACCGTCAAACGGCTGCGTCCGAAAGCTAAGGTTTCCTCATTGTTGCTTGCACAGCGCTGAAAACTGCAGCAGATCGTGTTGCTGGGGTTGCTGCCAAGAGCGTTGAGATCGTCCACTGGTAGCCTAGAACTAGCGACAAACATTTTCAGCAGGAGATTGATAGAAGTGAATCAAGGAATGAAAATCCTTGCCAAAGAGGTATACGAGGTGTTTTGAGGTCGTCCTGGTGCTGATTTTGCTGAGAAAGGATTCTAACAATATCTTGTATATTGATGCATGGGATATCTTCAATGGATCAGCTTCCAGGTAGACATTTCTGCTTTACTGAAAAACTTGCAGATGGTATGTGAACTTTGTCTTTTTAGCAGCAAAGTTTCTGCGATTCCACGATCCCTCATGCCAGATTTTTTGCATCCATCAGCAGAGGTTGAAGTTTTGGCATCAATCTGCAGCGATGTGCGGTTAAATTATAATCTTTTGCAGGGGCACAGACTGTGGGGCGAACGCATAAAGCAAGCGGTTGACAACGTGTTATCACGTGATTCGCAGCCCCAGTGATGCCGCGGCCGCACGGTGACTGCCGCCAACCGCGTGACGCCGCAGCAGAAGCATCATGACCGTCTGGCCTGCAGTGCCATAGTTACGACTGCAAACTCAGCAAAGTCTCCCAGCTGGATCAGCCTGGCGTGTCGTGGACAGCACGGCCCAGTAGCAGTCACGTGGGCCACTGGGAGTCCGCCCACGGCACGGCGGCCTTGAGCCTCGGATCGTGCCAGTGGCAGTGACAGACCGTGAGGAGGGCCGCAGGAACTTCCCTGAAACAACTGAGGCGGCGGCTACTGGAGGCCCGGCCCGGGCTATGTGCCCCTGGCCGGGCCGGGCCTAGCCTGTAGCTTTGCACTCAGGCTCAAGTCACAAGTTGACTGAGTTCGACGGCCCGGGCACCGGGTGGCACCCGCACGACACTGAGCGGCACGCGGCCGCAAACTTGAAATCCGGCGTTCCGAAGTTCAGTGAACTTACTTAACGGTGACCCAGTGACTTCAAAAGCGGCCGCTTAGCATCCGATCACTGAACCGTAACTTCCGAGTCATGGCATCATGGCATTGGCATCGTGTGAGTACACACTCGAGTCCGGGCGCCGCGGCGCCGCCGGCCGCATGTGGCTCGGACGCGGCCGGCCGCCGTGCGTGACTGCGGTACGCCGGGCGGCCGCCACAGTGACTCCTCAGGCTCATCAGTCCCGCGCCGCCCTCTACCGTACGGTAGTACCGTGACCGGCGGTACGGTACGGTCCGGCCGCTCGGAAGCCGCGCCGGTCAGTGCCCGGCGCGGCCACGGCATCCCGCCGGCGTCCGATCGGACCGGGCGGCGAGTGACGGTTTCAGTCAGTTGAAGGCTGTAACTTCATACTCAAAGTTAAGTTAAAAATCAGTACGAGGACAATCATGAGCGTGGTCGGTGGTAAAAGTCTCAGGGAGCTTTATGTGCGGCACGGCGTACGTTTTGTTCCAGGTCGTTTGACCTCTTGGATGACTGGCGATTACATATCAAGATTTGATAAGTTCTAGTTTCGAATGCAAGGTCATCATTGGCTCTTTAAACACAACGATCTGTTTCGTCATGTCTGCGGAGCTCCTGACACGGATTCGGCTAAAACAATTGTACAGGTCTGGCTTGTTTGACTTGTTGAACCGTTGCATCTTTTCTAGAAGTTCACCCATTCGTAATCCCAGCTTCAAGGAGGGGTGGTATCTTTTCGCCGTGAGAGTCATATGAATCGACTGTGATCAGTTTGTAGAATTGATTGCTTTCTGGAGATTGTTTGAAATTATTTTTGAAATATTCTTGAAAAGTTTAGAAAAAAGGGGTTTCTTCATAGCAAACTCAAAAACCTCAAATCTTATCTCGGAGGTAGACTCCTTTCTTGACCGGGCATATGAGTCGAAAGATCTTCTTTTCCCATCTTTCATCATTGTTTTATAAACATCAAGTTTTAAAAGAGCCAAACTTCAAAATAGTCCCTCGGTTTTCTATACTTTTGGAGGGTGGGGGTGGTGTCACCGTGGAGGGTCCGTGTGGCATCCGTGCGAGGCGCATGACTAGACCATCCCGGGGGCTAGTGAAGAGATTGACTATAGGTGTTGGCCTGCTAAGGTGGTGAAATGGGCCAGAAAAAAAGAACCTTGGGGCATTCACGTAGTCTGCGCCTCACAAATTCAGAAGGAATGGGACATTCTGTCCTGTTGATTTTTTTTGTTTAGCTTTACTATCGTGTCTTAAAGGCATCTGGAGGTACCCCCTTCATTGTACTCAATTGAGATACCCTACCTACCCGGGATATTCTGATCCCTCATTCGCTACCCCCCTTTTTGTAGCACCCCCGTTGTTTTGAAGTTTAGCCCAAACTTCTACACGGGTACCTAGGTCGAAAGCCCGGTTTGTTAAAAGCCACACATGAGGAGCAATGGTAGTGCCATTTCATTACATAGAGAAAACCTATGATTTCTTGACGGTCTAGATTTTTGTATATGCCCCTCAAGGAGGCAAAACACCCTACCGGATATGCACCTATCAATGTGTACCCCTACCCTCCATTTTACAACCTCCCATGAACCCACCCCAGGAAAGCAAACCAGATCTAATTTTTTGAACACCCCTTGTCGCAACTACCCGACCCCTTCTTTTTGGTCCGACTCCCTTACAGAATCCTCCCATGCTCGTCAATGGCTTTGAGTGCGGCTCCTGCCACATGCAGCCAATGTCCCAATGTCGTGCGCATGCTGCAATTGCAGAGAGTCAACAGATCGGATGAAAACTCATTGTAGACTTGAAACCCCTCTGATCTCCCAATATTGTTTATTCTCGACCGTTGATAGATAGTCGAAATTGTCGAAATGATCTACGAATTCGCTTTGTGATGGCTTTCCTCATTTGCCGGTACATTGTCCATGGTGCGAATATCATTTTTAAGATAGCTATGGAAGGTATCAGAAGAAATTCGTTGCACTTATTATTTTTTACAAAAAAAATCTTGCAAAAATTGTTCTTACTAGCTTCATTGACACTTGTCGGAACAGGTTGGACTCGCGGGTAATCAGATCTTTTTATTCGGAAAACAACAATCACGATACACTTCAAAACAAGAACGGCTGAAACGAAATCATTTTCGTCCTGGCATTTGAAACCAGGACAACAACACGCAAAGCCGTGCCAAGAAGGATATGAGTAAAGCTGCAAGCAAGGATTCAGATCACCTTGCAATGACCAATCAGGATTCGGTTGAAGAAATTCTGCCAGGGAGCGCGACGAATGCTTTGAAGCGTCGGAGACTTGATGCAGATACTGTGCAGAATAGAAAAAGACGAGAGCAAGTTGGTCGCGCATGCGAGGTGTGATCCTGTCAACTTTTCCGCTCGTGTTTCTCACCCATGTTATTTCCAGCCATGTCGGAGAGCCAAAATGAAATGTGATGAGCAAAGACCTTGTTCAACGTGCAAATCTAGGGATATCAGCCATAGATGCATCGATGAGGTACTATCTTGATCTTTTATTCTCGTCCCTCAACTCTATTGGAAGGTTTCGTTCGAGACCATCCGTGGCGTTCTGAAACTGCCAGTGGTTTCCAAAGAAGTAATTGAAATACGACCCGAACATAAAAGGCAAGGAGCTCTCCAGCAAAGATCTATTGAACTGTGAGTACATTAGTACACATTAGATCGGCAGAGACTCATGGATGTTTTAGTGAATGTGGCGATGAGACAACCTCGTTGGCTAATCGCTGTCGCCATTTGGCTGAGAAAATGCCATTGATCGAGTTAGGTTGGAAAAAAGATCAGGTCAACTTGGTTTTCATATCTCGGATTTTTTTGACATGCTGGCAAAGATTGTTCAAATGCTCATGGGTTTGCCTGCTTCCCTTTTTGAAACGCTTAGCAAGGGACTCACTGCAGTACAAAGGTTTGTAACTGTTGGATCCTTTTTTCGTGAACTGATATCATTTCTTGATGAATTCAGGTTGTACGACATTCACAAGGAAGTTTCAAGACCAAGAGCGGGAAGTTTGTCGAAACATCTGATGGCAGAGGATAGAGAGCTTCGGATTGACGCCATGGAATGTGACATGTGCAATTCGCACCCGTCACTAGGTGTATTCAGAGTCGAGTACTGTCCTTCCACAGGCCAGGCGTCAAGCCTGTACATGAATCAAGCATTTGCATCCATCTTAGGGACTACCAGAGACAAGCTTCTTCATCAGATCTCCTGCTGCCAAGTTCCCTTGGCCCTGTCTGCATCTGAGTATGTGAGCTTCATCCTTGGATTGATGAGCTCCTTCATGCCAGTACAGTACAGCTCTGTCTTGCGCATCGTGCCTCAAAACAGTGATCAGCCTGTGTTTGTGAGAGCTCACCAGAAGCGAACTTTCGGACAGTTTGGAAATTTGATCTGCGTCACTCACTTTTGGTCGCTCATGGAGCCCGAGGACTGTCCCACAGACCTGAGCTTTGGCGTATGTCCGTCTGATAGGCTGAAGGTCTCAAGGGAGTTTCTTTTTGATGCTGCAAGGGAGACAGACCTGCCTTTGGTTCAGCTTGAGACCAGAAGCTTGCAGGGCGCTGAGCTCGTCAGGACTCTGCAGGCTTCGGCTGAGACTGTTTTTCAGCCTTTTATCACTTCTGAGGCCGTTGCGGGCTACATGGGCTTGTCTTCTTCTGCTTCAAGCCCCTCCAAGACATTTTCAAAGAACGAGAAGCAGCCTAAATCTGTCATCGGAGTTGTTGCCGGGGGAGAAGGCTGCCTAGCAACTTTCGGAACCAGTGGCTTGGATGCCTGCCGTCCTTCATCTTTGTGCGATGCAGGAGTAGAAGATGGGCTTGGAGGATTAACGTCATGCCTCAATGTTACTGTAGAGAGCAAGGGCTCAGGCGTTCAGCACCTCTTGCCGGGGGGGTCGAACAAGTTAGGAATGGACCAGGCGAAGGCCAATGGTCAAGCATCAGCTGGGAGAGCGGGGGCACCAAAAACTCAGCACGCAGATGTTCCTAATGGTGTCAATGTTAGTTTGAACGATCTATCGGGTCTTGCTTCCTTCTTGGGTTCAAACAACGTGCAGGCCAGCCAGCCTGTCATGAATCAATTTCCTGCAATGGCCGCATCTAACGTTGCGTCAAACCTACCTGCGGGCTCGAATATGCTTCACAATATTAGCGCCAACTCTGCAGCAGCTCGCCCAGACTCTGTTGCACAAGCACAATTCGCTCCAATGCAAATCAATCCATTTCAGCAGCTGCAGGCTCGAGCTGCTGGCATTCAAGCGAACCTGCAGGCTCACATCGAGGGCGTTAACGTCGCTTCGAAACTTGCCAATCAGCTGCAGGGCATTCAACAGCAGCTTGAGACAGCAAAGGCAAGACTTCAACAGCAGGTGATGTGTCTCCTAGCTCATCTGTCTCCGTTACACGTTATTCTTAATTTTTCATGCAATTCTCTGCATCAAATGTCGTGATCATGTTGAATATGTTCTGACTCAATTACAGTTGGAGGTCACCAACCGGAGCATGCTTCTGGTGCCAAATCGCGGGAGCACTCAAGGACCTTCATACTCTGGAACCAGTGAATTGTACAATAACTCTCTGTGAATGTGGAATCATATCCTTTTGTTTTTTCTTTGTATTTTCAATGAAAGCATTTGAACTTGTTTGTTGTTAAATATTCCTATATTACTGTTTCGAGATTTCTCTTGTCCCCCATGTTACTTCAGTCTTCCAGAACTCCCGCTGGCATCGAATCTTGATTCAGTACGTGAAAACCCACATGGTTTGCTTTTGATGTTGGTACACTTCCAATCATTAGATGTTATGCTGAGCAGATTCTCGGCTGTTGTCGCGTGTCTATGCCAATTCTATACCCCGTTGAGCGTCTGAATGCTTCAGTTTAGGTTATAATTGTTCACTCTTGTTCACTCTGAACAAACAGTTCCAGTATACAACAATTTACATGCATAAAAAGAGAAGATAGCATCAATCTCCTTCAGGTCTTGAACTGTCCTTGCAATCTGCCAACACTCTCTGTGCCATCCCTGGAGTCTTGGTCCAAACCCCGAAGTAAACTTTTCCCATCCTGGTCCAAGTATCCTGGTGGACCTCCACTTGTCGAAAGAATTTCATCTCCAAAAACATGTGGCCAAACTACATGCGGCATCCTTACTTGAGGCTCTAGGACATGAGGCTCTAGGACTTGAGGCTCTAGGACATGAGGCTCTACGACTTGAGGCTCTAGGACATGAGGCTCTACGACTTGAGGCTCTAGGACATGAGGCTCTAGGACATGAGGCTCTACGACTTGAGGCTCTACGACATGAGGCTCTACGACTCGAGCCCTCATACTCTGCTGGTACTCAAGCTGGGCGAGCATCTGTCTGTGATTGCCAGAGCGCATGAGGCTCCCTCCATCAGCATGTACACGAGGTTTCGTTTCAGACACTTGATGAAGATGAACCTGCGTGTCCTCTTATCGGAATTCGCAATAAGCGCAACTTTCTTACCATGAGTGCTAAGATGGAGAAAATCTGGAAAGAAAAAAGGCCAAATAACAACGTATTCCGTTGCTGCATTGGCAGCATCCTAACATATCGATCGATCCACCAGTCCTAAGATAAATTCAGTTGTTGTAAGCTGTCACACTTCTCGTCTCCTCTTCCTAGCCCCAACCGGGTCTAAAACTCGCAGCGAGAGAACAATAGATGTGCGTGACATTCTTGCACATTAACAACCTGTCGCATGTCACCTCTTCTTCTTGTTCTCCCTCTGATTCTCATCACGTCATCTTCTTCTCCCTCCGCATCTTCTTCTCGTCATATCTTCACTGTAATGTATTGCATGTAACATACCGATGCCATGTGAAAGGACACGTTTTACTAACCGCTTCACCTTTTAAAAAGTTTCCACCGGCTGTGGACCGGGTTTCCTATCGATGGGTTTAAGTTAACTTAGTAGGGTTTCAAGGGGACCGTCGACTCGGGAGGCCCTGAGCCTCGGAGGCAACTCTCCCGACTGAGGCGGTTTAGGGTTTAGGGTTTAGGGTTTAGGGTTTAGGGTTTAGGGTTTAGGGTTTAGGGTTTAGGGTTTAGGGTTTAGGGTTAGGGTTTAGGGTTTAGGGTTTAGGG